GGCCATTGCTATTAGGTTGGAGGCCATTGCTATTAGGTTGGAGGCCATTGCTATTAGGTTGGAGGCCATTGCTATTGGGTTGGAGGCCATTGCTATTTGGTTGGAGGCCATCGCTTCTAGGTTGGAGGCCATTGCTTCTAGGTTGGAGGCCATTGCTACTGTAGTAGGATTCAACCAAATGCACCCAATGCAGACTGTCGAGGAGAGTCGATGGTGATGCAGACCTCATCTGTGTGAGGCGCCTTGATGGTGACGGCATGGGAGGCTAAAAAAGCTGCGCAAAAACCCGCAGGGTCCGCTCAATTGCGCCCGTTTCTGTTCCAAGAGAAACCTCAGGCATTCCATTCATCACCGGCATCGTTGCAGGTCGCCGTGTTGTTCTTTTTTTCCGGTTTGAGTCTTCAGTGCTGCATTCAACGGGCTTGGAAGTTGAAGTTCTTCATGCTTGACATGTTTCATAGATGATCATCGATGTTCATCGTTGTTTTCATGCTCTTCCTCATATTTTCACTGTAGTCAGATAGGGAGATCCCAATAGACCAAAACCCGGGCAAAAGGTCTCCCTATTGAATTACACACCCATACCCTAGACTTCCAAGACCATCAAGAAAATGGTTGATTTGGGATGACCCGCCTATGAAATTCATGGTGCTTGGAAGCCTAGGGCCCTGGGGCCCGGCCGGATCCTTGTCCGATGGCTGGGCCGCACCTTCGGGAGAGACCTGAGGATCTTGGGGGCGAAGGGAGCGAAGGTGGCCGAGGGCTGAATCCGGGCTTTTGCAGGATGTGGTTCTTTTTGTTCAAGATGTTCCATTGATGTTTATTTGCTTCTTTGCTTGTTTGGAGAGGGCTTGAAAACGGGGGGAATGGATGGGAATGAATGAATCAAAGAGTCTACATGAAGTCTCTATGAATACATCGACCCCCGAATCAGCGGGTCAGATCTGGAAAGGGCAGATCTTTTGCAAGTTGAAGAGTTCAGCCGATGAAGGAGGTGATGGAGAAATGGGGTGTGTGCTCACACCAGGTCTCACGAAGATCGTTTTTGTTTCTTCTTCTTCTTCTTCTTCTTCTTCTTCTTCTTCTTCTTCTTCTTCATTTTTTGAGGAGGGCCTGGGGGCTTGGCGGGGCTTTCAGACTTCAGCCAGAACCTGCAGAATGCAGAAAACACTCCATGAGGGGTGATGGTGGAATGGAAGGCACGGCAAGTTTGGAAGATGAACCGTATGACATCAGGAATCTTGCCATTTCGTCCCATTTCAATGCGATCTGTCATTGCCTACTGTCATGTGGTAAATTCATATAATGTCAGTGATTCATCACCTTAAACTCTGATGAGCAGACGGAAGTCTGTCGTGCTGTTCACCACCTGTGGCATAGGATCAGCTTCGCATCTCCAAAATTGGCCGAGTAATGACAAATGTTGCTTTGCAATGTTTTGCAGCATCTTCTGTTGTGCGACCAAATCATCCAATGCATATATGGGGATGGGTCAAAACGTGGCGCTGGAGCCCGACCAGTCGGTGAACGACCAGTTCACCATGACCCACATCCCATCGTGTTGTTCTGGCAAAACTCTGCTGGCTTTTTCCTGCCTTGGCTCGGTTCCAATGATTGGTTTATCCATTGCGTCCTGGTTGGTTGATGAAGGAAAAGTTTTTGCAGCAGCTGGCAGGCCCTTGGTTTTGAATCTGGTTCTTGGGTCTTTCATTGATGATTCTTTCAAACGAAAGTTTCAATCTTGCAATCTTCTTTCGCAGGCGCGCGCAAAGAAAGGATGGAGAAAGAATCACACGCAAATCCATCTGGACCTGACACCATGCGAATGATTGCAGAAAGTGCTCTGTGGTTCCTTCCACACATCGCCAAGACGTGCATCTTTCGTTTCAGGAAGGCATCAAAATACGGCGGGCTTTCCTCTTTTTCAGGTCCACTTGGGTCATACGGCGGTTGTCTGGAAATCTTCGATTCCAGGGCAATGTTCATTTGCAAAAAGTTAGAGGCACATCCTTCTTGGAAGGATGCAGTTCTCCATTCTGCGAACGGCACCCAGAGAGGCCTTTTAGGTCTCAGACGGTCCTTGCTCGCATCCTAAGCATCTGGCTACGGCCCTTTGATTTTTCTGTTACCATCTATTTACTAGTGCTTCTCTCACAGAGATCTTCAAGCACGCGGTCGCCCCGCCATCCCTCAGACCAACAAGAGAATGGCCCTACCTGGATGTCCACCAGCACCATCCATAGAAACAGGTGGTCTGGGATGGAAGACTTTGGATTGAGAAACCTCTTCAGGCCTGGGGTATTGAAATGTGTTTGAAATATCATCCAAAGTCGTCTTTTGCATATCGCCACTCAAAGCAAAAACACAAACCCACCCCCGAAAATATCTGGGTGCCACACATCCCGCGCCAATCCGGAGCCGCCGCCTTCTTGGGCGGGAGCCTCTCAGTCGGTAAAGCCGAAGTCCGGAGACTTCCTGGGCTGCGTCGCCGAGCGCCTGGTGGGGATCTCCAGATCGGTGTACCTGGCAACGTCTGGATCGGTTGTTCAGCTGGGAGCTGACCGATGCTGACCGATGCGAGCGAGCTTGGGGGCTGACCTTGTTTGGCGGTTCAGAACTCCTAAAAGAAATAGAACTGTGCTAAGCGATCATAGGATATCCTCAATCAGATGCCTCCGGATCGAACGATGTTCTTCCTTCAGGTTTACCTCAATCCTGTTCAGCCACCTCGAAGAGAATGGAATCAGAAATCCAATAATGCAGTTGAGACAGGTCATGTTCCTGGTATCTTGAGCATAACTGCAAGAGTTTGGCAGAGAAAACGCATGCTGCGTTCAAGAATGAGCCTCTGTTCCATCCTTTCCCGCTGGAATTCATCTACTTCATTATATGTATAATATATATATATATACATGATTATACATGGTGAATGTCCCATGGCCACCACCACCTCGCTCTGCTGCCACCACCGCGCTTCCTTCGGTCTGGGAGAAGGAGAAGAAGACTCGGACAAAAATCGACGCGGGTCCCGGGCCAACGGCGCACTCGAGCAGTACACCGCAAAAGCGGCAGAACTCCACAAAGCTCTCCTGTTGCGTGTTCCGGTGGTCGCAGGTGTCGCAGTTTCTGACTTGCTGCCACATGCACGGTCCGTGGGTCGTGGAAGCCGAGGGTCCAGGTCACCGGGGGAAGCCGAGCGTGGGTAGAGCGAGGCGATGCACCGAATGGAGTGAGAGCGTGGGTAGAGCGTGAGTGAGTTCCAAGCTCCGGGTGTCCATGACAGCCACATGTGGCTGTGCCGACTGTCCTGGTTCATTGACAGGCCTGGTCTCTCTTTCACCTCAAACTGCGGTGCAGTTGCGTCTCTTTGTGGGTATGAGAGTTCACGGGTAGTCGTTCTAGTTTTGAGTCTTGTCAGGGCATACACAAACATGGTCAAGCACAAATCTGTGTCAAACAGCGATCAACACAAAGCTGAAATGATCAAACTCAGAAGGACGCATACTTACAAAAGACAATTACAATATGATAATAACAACTACTATCACGAAATTACAGTTATTGTTATTGCTAGTACATATTATATCATATTATATTACTATTGCATGGAAGATAGATGATGATGGTGCTTAGCGTTCTATTTCTGAGATACAACCGTGCGATTCCCAAACCAACATCTTGGCAGTCTTCCACCAATCCCGGTCACTGCGCCACCCCATCTCCCCTTGAGGGTTGTCGCGACCGTGACAAACGTCCTGCATCCTGACCCCATCACCCGCATCTCACCCCATCTCCACTTCCCCAACTTTAATCAGGTTCACCCCACCCCACTCAACCCATGGACCCATGTTCATGTCGAAGACATTCCTAGTTCGTCGACAGGCGACAGGTGTGTTCTTTCCCCGAGAGGAGTGTTGAAGGCAAAACATGAAGAAGCATGCATACACAAAACCTAGACACCACAAACTGCCTCGGACTCTAGCCCAACGCACGCCATAGTACTGTATGATATATTATGCATGTGTTATGTTGTCCAATGCCATCGCATGCACAAGCTAGTCACGATGTGATCCCAAGAGATCTCAGCAGCCGACAAACTCCTTGTGCTTGTTTCTGATGAAGTTAAACAGTGGCCCCTTGGAAGGCTCACAGTTGGTCCAACTGGTGAGCTTCTGAAGCCGATGTTTGAAGAAATAATATGGGCCAACCCATGCAGGAAGGTGGAGTTCAAGAGGTGCGTCCATCCATCAAGAATCCAGTGTTGCGTTTTCATGAATCAACGAATATCGACGTTTCGTCTTCCCTGAAATGATCGGTATATAGGGAGCAGCTCGCTTCCCCGAGCAGCTCGGTTCCACAAGTCTTAGCTCGGTCCTTCGATCCATTTTTTGAGGGTCATACCACCTAGTGTCCACAAGGACCTAGGGTCATCCCACCTATCGTGTCGCCCTTCGATCCGGCTGAGGCGCCGCACTTCGAGGCTCGCCGGGCAATTCGAAGCAGCTGGGCAGAGCCGCGGACGGGCGTGGCCGGGGCTCGGCGAAGCGAACGGTCAGTCGACTGAAGTAGTTCACTTAACTATCTACTCCAATTCACATGCAACTATAGTGGATAGGTGAGTGGATGGCTCTAACGCAGCTCGCCGCTACTAACGCAGCTGCCGAGTCCAAAGAGAAGAGGGATGTCAATGGATTTCAATGGATTTCTGGGTTTGGTATGCACGGAAGACTCCCCGTGCCTACCACTCTTTGCATCAGCACCAATGCCTCCCCAGGTCGTGGCACGTCACGAGGTCCGGGTGATTGGAAGGGAACGAACACGCCGATAGAACTGGTAGAGTTGAAAAGTGTTTGTTGGTAAAATTGAAGGCAACTGATCTTTTTTAGTATTTCAATGTATATAATTACTACATCAGGGTGCTGGTACCACCCCGAGCTCCGTGGTGCGTGTCAAGTTTCGCTCACTCCAGCAAGAATGCCGGCAGCATCTGCGATCTGATGTTGCTTCGTGTGTGAAGCGACGTCAAAGAGTCAATGTGTAGTCCAAGTTGCAATGGATCTCGAGGAGACCGTTGCAGGAGCCTGAGCGACAATGCCAAGCTGTAGACCTACCCTCTCTTTTCCTGAGGTGTGTCACACCGACACGAAGGATGATGTACTTACTGCAGTTCATCAAGAACACAACCAGGTAGGTCGACATCAATTGGATTTGTTCATGAGAGATCCAACTGCCTCAACGGATCCAACTGCCGTGCCTCTTCGATCTTTTCCCAGACTTCCTCGAGGATGTCTTCTGGCATTCCTGGGTCGCCAGATCCGGCGAGTCCGCGCCCACCAAACATAACAAGAAGGGATAGGCCGGTGGGCCCCAACAAAGGCCTTGCACAGCCAACAAAAAGCGCAAAAAGGGGACCGTATACCAGGGTCATCCTGTCTGGGTGTCCAATAGACTACCTTACGGTCTCCATTGGGCACCCGTTGGAAGTGCTAGGTAGACATCCGTCTTTCGCACCATACCGGTCGATCGGCAGGCAAAGGAGCCCGCTGAGGGAGCAGCGGATGCCACTGGCGAGACGAAAACGACCTGGGCTTCGAGCGATTTCGTTTGATCACCTTCTCAACGATCCGATATCTTCTTGATGGGTCCGCCGTCTCCTGGTCTCCACGCAGGATGAAGAAAGCCACAGCAAGAATTGAATTTCAAGACAGTCAGAGCCGTGGACAAGATTCATCGTGGAAAAAAACTGTTCCAGAAAGAAGAAACGCCCCTTGTCAGTGGCCCACCCCTGCGCTCCTGGGCCATCATCAATGGGCTTAGGCCCCCTTCTTTGATCTTCATCAAAGAATTTCGCCTCTCGTTCCCACAAACGCTCATCTCATGAAGCCAATATCTATTGAAAGAGGGACCCTCAGACCCCCAGCCAAACTTCCGGGTCAAGCGGGCAACATCAGCAATTCATTGGGCCAGCTTCGAGCACTCTTCCGGTTTCCGATCTCCCAGGGTGGCTAATGTCAGTCTTTCGCATGGCCTTGCAATCTTTCGTTCTTCTTCCTTGGCCTCCTCCACTTCCTGAACACGGGCAACAGCATGCAGTTTAAGCCGGCGAGATTGCGTAATTTTGGGCCGCGCCTGCGCCACTTGCTTGGCAATTTCACTGCGGCTGGTATCCACTTTGGTTTCGTAGCAAAACTTGCCTGGCACACGTCACTCAGCTCCCATCCTACAGAGGTGAAGTGACCTTATGACCCGTAACCAGGGGTACCTATAGGATAGTCTATAGGGTTCTTCAACCTCTGCTCGATCTGCTTCCATCTGCTTCTGCTCCCCCTGGCGAGTTCCGTACCAAGACAGGCTGGCCAGGCGATGCTGTGGGCTCTCGGGAAGCTCCACGAAGAAGCGCGCTCGCTCCATGCTCGCTTGCTGGCGGCCGGGGGGACGTTTTGAGTCAGCTTTCAAGAGAGAACTTCTGTTCACACGCTGGACGTTCTGTCCAAGGAAGCCTGTTTGGAAAGAACTTTCGACGCATGGTAGCAGAAAACATGCAGGAGAAGTGAGGGTGTCTGCTGTGGGCAACAGCAATCACACTGCATGGCAGGCGCACAGGCATGGGGAGGATATGCTCTTTGGGGCCTTGAATTGAGCAGCCCAAAGAGCAAAAAAAAGAACAGACCACAAGAAAGTGAGGGGAAATTGTATACGGAGAACAAAGATGACTGAACTAAGTATATAGAGAGAGAGAGAGAAAAAAAAAACATGCCAACGAAAAGAGAAGGTGCAGGCTGTCAAAGGAAACTGCCGGAGGCAAAAGAGCACCAATTTTGGCTGGCCGAAGACATGTTGCCCTATGCTGATGTTTTGTTGATCCTGGTCTTCAGAAAAGCATCTGTCGATTTGAATATTCCTCAACTTCATCTTTGAAGCCGATCAGAGTAACGTTCACACCACCACTCACAGCATCAAAAACCACTCTCAGACATGGATCCCATGCTGTGCTTTCTTTGTTGGAAACCATGGTGCCGGCGTGAGGGGGGGGGCGGGTGGTGTGTGCCGCTGTCCCCACTGAGGTCCCCGCCAAAGAGCCTCCATACTTGGAGGCCATATATAGTCGATCGCGCCCCAGCTTCAAGCGAGTCTGGACGCGAAAACCATCGAAAACCGTCATGACAAAACCAGACGCAAAAAAGAGAAATGGCCAGTTCGTCAACATGGTCCTAGGGTCATCGGTTGGTCATCGGCTTGGCCAGTTCTATCAACAATCTACCCAGACGCGCCCCTGGACCCTCTTAAGTAGCCGTACCCTCATATGGAGGGGTCCGGACCCTCAAATCCCCATGGTTTTGAGGGACCGGTCGGACTGTTTGGAGCGTCATGGTCCCAACCGACGTCGGCCGCCCGCGGTTGGTTTCCAACGGGTTCAGCTCCATCGGTTCCATTCGGCGGAGAGACGCCGTGCCCGACCGTGACCAAAACCAGGGACCGATGGGACGGAAAGGGCCCGTGCCGAGCCGCATGGGGCTGGGGAAGGCAGGATTGATCGGGCCCAGAAAGCTGGAGCCGGGTGACCGGAGTGACCTCTGTTTTGATAGGACTGGTTTTGGGGCGAAGCCGGTGCCCTAGACAAACAGCGAAGTCTGGACAGCGAAGATGGCAAGACACCCCAAACGAGGAACCCCCGAATGAGCCGGAGCGACCTCTGTTTTGATAGGAAAAGAATGGAAAAGGCCCATACTTTGGGTGGTGGCCCAATAATGTAGACTCTTGAGGACCATACAACGGGGGGGTTTAGACACGTCCAGAGTCTACATTAGAGGTCACATCGGCTCCACAAAGGTCGAACTCAAGGGCTCGTCCATCGTTGGAACAGCCACATGGTCGGAGAGGTGTCCCCCCCCCCCACGGCTCACAGAGCAGATCAGTCAGACCTAAGACTCGGCCGCCAAAGCTATTGAAAAGAATACAACATGAACATGACATCGCATGACAGGAATTTTCGGATGTCAATGATTGTTTCAGGGTGTTGCTGGGTCCATTCTCGTAGACCCTTCGGTCCTTGGAGCGGCTTAAGCTTCATGGAGCGAAGCGGAAACCCCCACCGGATCGGCGAGCGGATCCCGAGGCGGTCTTCGGGCCTCGTCTAAGGCTGGAAGTTGAAGGGAGACGGGCTGCTGGTACAGCGCGGACCTGGGAGAAGCGGGAGCCCTGGAACCCGCCGCGGAGGAAAACGGCGTATGAAAAACCGGAGAAGCATCCAGGAAGCCATGCGTCCTCAGCATGGGCCTTGTCTACATCTGTCTTCGTGTCGGGGCGAAATTCGTCATGCTGCTGAACGATCATTCTTGGCGACCGCATACTTAGACTCGCCTTTCATTTCAATGCGCTTGGTGATCCCAACATGGGATAGCCTTTGTTTGATCATCAAGTCGGATCTGGGCTTGGAGGGCATCAACACAAATCAAGCTACGAGACTTGTCAAGAACACAATAATGCAGACTCTTGATTGTATTTCAACCCCATATGAGCGACGACCTTTATTTGAATAAATATAATATATATATATATATATCTGTTCGTATTTGCATTAATTTTTCTTGCATCTCGTTCAATTGAATTTGATATTGGATGATATTGGTGCTTGTCCGGAGTTTCGTTGTCCAAGTTGTCTACGTACCTCTGATGCCACAGAACTATACATGTACGGGAGATCTAGTTTTATAGCGTACCCCTACCTCGTTCAGCGGGGCCACAACGTTTTGGAAAAATTGGGGCCACCGCCAAGCTATTTTTTGTCGGTACAGTAAGAGGTGTTGCATTGCGTATCATTTTCTAACTGAGTGCGATTCGCAACAGCCTTTCACTCAACCTCCAGTTCATGATTTTGGGCCTAATGTTCAGCTGTTAGGACTTGTGGAGCATCCAACCAGCATCGCTAAATATCGGTTGCAATATGCATCTATTTCAGATGACGCTGCTTTGCTTCTTGACCCTGAAGCTGACCATCGCTGACCATCGGCGCTCTGTGGACCGACGGTTCAGTTTAAACGGACTGAATCGCTTTGGTTGACCATTTGCAGCTTACAGCGTCATTGACAGTACAGGTACTTGCGTGGCAATGGATCGCGTTTTCTTTCCGAATCTGTCCTCATACGCTGCCGAGCTCTTTGCTATCTACAAGATTCTACAAGGCTATCAGTTTAATCAAGTGGGAGCATCACTGTTACCATACAGATTTGCAAATCCATTGTTGGCCAATTTGCTCCTGCAACCGGTCGGGTCAACCCACTGTGGCGACTCGTTTCAGCGGACAAGCTTGCCTGATGGACTTCCTGTGGGTTTCACGTCGCGGACGGATGAAGATCGAAGAACAGCTGAAGGTGCTGCACGCCATGGTACAACCCGACCATCCTCAACCGACCTGCAAACAGATATTGCTAAGGCAACAGGCAACCGTTTCTGCTCATGAAACCGGACCTGACGTGTTTCTTTCAGTTGCACAGGGTCCAAAGGATGGCACAGGGTCGCGTCAAATCGTTTTGGCCAAGCGGAACAGGTAGGTCAGTGGGCCGCCGTGATTTCACCGGCTAGCGAATCTCCCGGCGACAGACGCCGCACATCCCATAGGAGCCGGCCACTTGACTTCCGTGCCCCGTGGAACCCACGGCTGGGACGCTGGTGACCCAGCACCACAGTTGGCAAACGGACGTGGTTGGCACCCGGATTTCTGAAAACGTGGTTGGCAAAGTTGAATTCAAATGACCTTTCGACATGGTTTGACTTCACGAATTGTTTGGAGTGGCATCTTCAGGATGGAATCTGCACTTGATTTGTTGAATGTGCGTATTTATTCTGGAAACGCGGCTATCATGGATCAGCTTCATTCGTGTTCCTTGTGCGACTCTACCTTTCGTGATTTGACGTTTAGGTTCCGGCGGACCTTTATCAACAAGATTCCCAACCACGGTGTGTTTCCAGTTCATTTACTGACCAGTACCGCCTGAAAACGGAAGGGCGGACCTTACCTCAAGATCCTCAAGGTGCAATCATTGAGGCGATTCCCCCTTTCGCTTTGGACGAGCTTGCAGGTTTTACGGAACTCCGCGTAGAGGGTGGTTCAAAACAACTTTCGAAGTGGGAGTTCCCAATTTGAGTTGGTCGTTTTGTTTCTTTTCTCACTTGACTCCGTGCACCCTTTCTTTAATTAGAGTTATTAGATGTTATTAGTTGCTGTTGCGACGACTGCGTGGGGATTTGCAATGAGGGAGATAGAAAAGGTCTTACATTCATAAATTGGGGTCTATAGTCAAGGATCTACACCATTGCTTGGAAGGTGGTCTATGGTGTCTACAAATACGATCTTCCTTTCTTGTTTCTTTGTTTCTAATAGCGATGGCCTCCACCCTAGTAGCGATGGCCTCCAACCTGGGTCTACAAGATTGTTTCGAAGGTGGTTGATGCTTGATGCGAGCGGATAGGGCGAGCGGATTGGATCTTAGTCTGGTCTGTCAGACTGGACCAGTCAATCGATTTGGCATCAAAACAGGCCCTCTGAGGGTCCCTCACATCCCAATTTCAGGGTCCAGACTGCCTAGGAGTATTTGAACCCACCCTAAACGGAGGGTCCAGGGTCGCCTCTGGCTGTATATCAAGAGAGCTGAAAAGCCCTAGAGCACCGACCATCTGAGGCTTTGGATCACCGACCCTAAAAGTGAAGCCCTTCATGGCTCGGGTCCTCCGACAGTTTAGTGACCCTACAAGTCCCAAAGTACCACATCTGACCCTACAAGTCGGCAAAGGAATGATCCCCCCTTGGTACCGCCGAAGGTCGTGTCTACAGGAGTTCAGTATGGGAGAACCAAGGGGGATGGAAGGTCCTCGACGGAGGGGTCTCCGAGTGGACCTTTCCATACCACGTCCTGCGCTCCGCAGCACGCTCCCTCGTCCGGAGCACGTCCGGCGCGCCAGGCGCGGCGTCCGCGGAGAGAGCTGTGTGAGCTGAGCCGTGTTGCTCTCTCTGAGCGCCCCGAGCTCGTGCAGGGATGGTGACGCCGGCGGGATGTCATCATCGCAGACGGCTAAGCCTCATCTCCAAGCAAAAACCATAAAACCGAGACCCTGTAGGGATTCCTGGCCCATCATTGATTGAATAGCTTTCTTAGAGCAATCATGGAAAACACCAGAACAACCAGGTCAACCGAACTCTTTGAATGGTGGAACGGAAGGCGAACCGGTATCAACACAAGCTCTGACCAGCTCTGCAGGTTGAAAACCGGGTGCCACACCTGCCATGACCAGCGTGCTTCTGTAACCTGAGGCTTCTCCTGACGTCCGTCCAACCACACATTGACATCCTACTCCACTCCGGGTCGAGTGGTGCTGCAAACAAATCCGCCCTTCTTGGCAAAAACACCATGGAACACCCGCCCGCCATCTCTCCAACATGTTCTCCTTAGAACATCCCACATCGCGTTGAACGTCTGGTTTCCGGCTGTTCTTTTCCGCAATGGCCGGGCCACCCCTGGGCCTGTGACTTTTTCCTTTGGAGGTTGAAGAGCCTGAATCCATGATGAAATCCGATCATCGGCCATCGCACAGACTGACAAAATCGAGCTCGAGCTATATCACTCGATACATCCGAGCGAGCTAGCCAGTTCACCAGATAGAAACTCCCTCATGATGACTCATGATGACTGCTTGTACTTTTTCACGAAACGATATGGCTCATCTGAGGAAAGCACCATCCATGCTTTGAACTGTCTCCAATCCCTCACGGGCTCCAAGGCCTTCTCGACCACCGCCTGTGTATGGGGTGCAAAGAGGAGGTGCAGGGCCACATGCATCATCTGCTGCAAAAAGAGAAACTAAGGCTGGGTCCATGGCTTGCAGCACAGAACTGAGCACTGCATGCTTCAGTTCATCTCTGAGCCAGAACTGAAAAAGAGAGCAATATCTTCCTGCGCTGAACTCGCATCTTGAAGCCTAGCAGCTGACATACTAGGTGGCTAGAGTGCAGGATCCTGAGTCTGGCAATTCATAGAAACTCGTGCGTTCATCAACAAACATCCAGCTCTAAATGAAATACTTGACCAGTAACACTCGTATCTATTGAAGAATCACCGAAGATACCCAATACACAATGAGTGACTCGTGTTATATGGTACCCTTTCTTTCCAACCCGTTCGGCCCATGTTTCGCCAGGGCCCATGATTCGGCGACGCCAATTGATCCGAACATCGATGGATCCTTTGCCCCAGCACGTCCTTCTCACCCTCCATCGGTCAGCTCAGCTGAGTGGGAAGGATGTATCAAGCCACTCCCAAGGGCCCAGCCCGTCTGCGTTGGTTCCAAGATGTTCCAAGGGGCCAAGCTGGGGGGGTTGAGGGTCTGAAGATCAACTTCTTCAACCCACGTCTCTAAATTCTGTGACGTGCCAAGCTCCACAGACCGACGTGTCGACACAGTTCGCGCGTTGTTCTTGGATCATGCGCACTGCATGCGATGGGTCTGGCGTCCACACAGACAACTAGCTCAAACACTTGAAGTAAAGATTTGTCTGGCACTTAGGCCATTTTCGTCAGACCTGACTAGCGCCCAGCTCAGATCAACGCAAGCAGCTATGTGAGAAGGCGGTGCATGATCCAAACGACCAATTATTAAATACAACTCTATTGACTATATTGATCAAATCTGGCATCCATGTCAAAATAGCGAGTCTGAAGCTGGCAGGGGGGTGAAGACCCTCCTGGAGCTCTGAATCCGACACTTTCTGGTCAGGCTCAGAGGGAACTGCCAGGTTTTCTTCACGCTCTACGCGGTCGACGCCCACAGCACAGGCGGCAGGCAGGCGCCCGGCAAGAGTTTGGGGCTCCCGGCAGTTCCATTCCACGACGCTGTTTCAGGCTTGAAAAAGACCCTCGGGGCAGATTGACGCCCGAAGGACCAGAGCTGCAGCGAGGCAGGCGTAGGCGCGGCGCGCGAGCCGTAGGCGCGGCGTAGTGCAGTGCTCGAAGCGGTTTGCATTCAAGCACCAAGGACCATTCATGGTGCTGCCGGCGAGTGCTGCTGGGCAGTGCTGCTCAGGATGCAAATCTCTGTGATTACAACATCACTTACTTGGGCAGCAGAAAATACTGATCAGCAACAAATACTTTCATGCAGGTGAAGGCTCAAACAGCCTTCAGACGCTGACCTTTGTCGCCGCTGCCGCTGTGGCTTTAACCCGATGAATCCACCGAACAACACGAACAATACTATATAATAATATCTAATAATGTGCCTTTTGCTAAGAGAATCCACGAGAACAATACACATGAAAAAAACACGGAGCAGCTCAAGCGCAAAGGTCAGGAAGTGTGCTACGTGATGGTACGTGCAGGTGCTCCTGGCCGAGTCGTTGGCGCCAGAGTCCAGTCCACAAACACCACCGACGCACCACACACGCACCACAGTTCCGTTTTCGAACGGATAGACCCTCCATGCATTATGTATTACATACAATTGACCCCAGGTCTCACCCAGGTCAACGTGGTATCGGTCGCCACTCCCAGGCCCGGGTTCCTCGGTATGATGGCGACCACGCCGCCGGGTCGGACGCCGCGGTCGATCAAGACGGGGTGTCGATGGACAGCTGGGGTTCTCCTAAGCAGCTAGCCTGTTGACAAGCATGTTCGTGCGATTTACGTCCTGATTGCAGTTTGGATGAGAAAGACAATACATTGTTTAAAAAAAAAAAAAGAAATGCAGGCATATGCAGGCATATGTGGGCCAAAGTTCAAAGGGGGCAAGTAAACACCAGAAGCTAAATTGAGATGCATTGTGCTGGCTCAGCTTGTAAAAGCACCTGGATGTTGATGGGAAATGATGGGAATCATCAAGCACCCCGGAAAAAGATCCTATATAGCGACCACTGGGGCTCCAAACACCACCAGCAAAACACCTATGGCGCCTCAAGCTGGCCCCCGCCTGCACCAGGAGGTGCCCCGCGTTCCAGGTCGCACTGCCCTTCCCCCCGCAACCACCCGCCACCACAACCGTCGCTCCTCAGGGATTCAAGGCTTCATCTGCAGGCTCGTCCGTGGCAACCTCGCAGCAGCACCCGGTTCCGGCGCGGTGCGCGCTTTCATCTCTCGCGTTGGACCCCGCGCGCGCGCGCGGTGAAACAGCGGGCATCCCGGTGGCCGAAAGGGGCGAGCATTGCATCTGGGGGCATCCGACGGTGTTCGAGTACCAGCGTCTTCTGACCTGGGCGATCGCCGACGTCTGGCGATGTGGCGATGTCGTCCGATGTGTATGGAACTTTGCCCGAACGGAGCTGTAGAGACTCAGACTGACTTCCAGTGTATATCATTGTAATATGAATGTACTATGTTTCATGTTTAAAAAAAAAAGACGGCTGCGTTGCACATCTGAAGGCGGAGAACTGTCTTAGCATCCGACAAAATAGCCCACCACCATCATCACAATGCCCACCGCAACACCCACGACTGCCTGTAGAAATGCATGTGTCCAAACCAAGGAATGCTTTCTGGGCTCCAAGGATCATGCACGCATGCAAATGCTTGCTTAAATGGTCCGAGTCAGCAGTCAAAATGACAGACAAAGCAAAGCCATGGTTTTCACCCAAGCCCACATGTTTCAATGTGTTACAAACGGTATCTTGCTCAGGCAACAAACTTGAGTCCAACTTCTTTTGCTTGACAGCGCTGAGTGCGACACACCGATGAGGATGGATTGCACCAAAGCAACAGTGGGATCCTGGCAAGGGGGGCAGATCCAGGAGTGGAGTGGGGAGAGGCCATGGCGGCAACTCATCTAGCACGACCCATCTTGCGAATGCAAGCTGCGGATATCCATCACCAGTGCTCAGACTCGACAGACTAGGAACTGTATCTACAGCGAGGCAATTGAGCAGCATCGGGCACCGTGTTCAACACTACAGCCACCGACAAACCTATTCACCGCTCCAACATGTTCGTTTGGGGTGGGTTTGAAGGGTCCAAATACACTTCTGGGGAGGTACTTGGAGGTGTAGGGATACTAGTTACTAGCCCTAGGGCTCACCCCCAAACCCCAATAAATGGACAATGCGACTATCCACGGTCCTGTGGAGCCTGTGGAGACTTTAGAACCTTAGAGGAGGTCATCTACCCCCCGCCCCGGATGAAGTAACTTAACTATTTAATTGCTCAGTAGTGTACTTTAACTATTTAATCCTACCCTGCTCCAGTGCTGGATTCAAAGTTCAAGCGAAATTCAGAAGGGCTTGAGTGCCAACAAGAAACAATCTACAATCAGTCATGAATTGAGTTAAAAGATCCCGAGGGCCTTGACCTAAATAATATGTACAATCTGAGTCATGATTTGTTTTTTGAAAAGTAACCCGGTAGGGTGGTGCACTACTTAGTTACTTACGTACCCCTGGATGCTATGTTGCACCTCTTTCTCTCTCTTTCTCTCTCTTTCTCTCTCTCTCTCTCTCTCTCCCCCTCTCTCTCTCTCTCTCTCTCTCTCTTCGCCCCCATCCAACATAAACATGACATTCATCAGGTAGTTCAAGTTCTGATGAGTTAATACTATTACACCTTTTTCTCAGTGATTTTGCACAACTTCTTGTATGTCATGACCCAATGACCCACCCACCCCAGGATTTCTGCACGGACATGAATCCAATCAAAAAATCCCAGAACTGACTGAGAAGGCCCTTGGATTAATGTCCTAATGCAAAATGCATTTAACAAACAAACAAACAAACAAACACATTTTTTAAAAAAATATATAACAAAATTAACAAACAAACAAATACCTGTATAAATATACCGTCTAGAAAGTGGATCACTGCTAACCAAGTGTCTTTAAACCATTCCACAACGGGACTTCGGAGCTGGCCCCCCTCCCCCCACCTCTGGCACGGCCTCCTCAGGCTCCTCGGTTTGGGGGACGAAAACCAGATCCGTGTAGGGCTGAGCGGGGCTGGTGCTGAAGTCATGGGTTTCAGTAAAACGAATGAAGTAAGCTGGTACTAGTAATGAAGTAACCAGCTGGTACTAGCTTCACATGGGTTTCACCTGGAATGAGTGATGATGATGCTTTCCTCATGTAAGACCAAGAAGAAACAAAACACGTACTCACGATGGTTCACTCATTCCACCCAACAGCAGCTCACTGTTCAACAATCTGCCGCAAGAGCAAGAGTCCAACAAAAATTCCACGAGCTGACTTTCCAGCCTGCGGACACAACATGGAAAAAGACATTGAAACATCGCAAAACGTCTTCGTCAGCTGACATGTTTGACGGGCAGCAGCTCTTCAGCCACGCTGAGGCTCGGACTGTGGTTGCATTAGGGTCTGACGTGGTGGTGCTCGCGAAGGTGGTGGATAAAGTCGTTTCCGTCGTGGTGAAGTTGTTGGAAGTTGTTGTGGTGTTGGACGTTGCCTGGCGCGGAAAGAAATCACGAACTCCCTTCGAAGAGACAGCTGTGGAAGAGCAAGGAAACAGCTGTGCCCTTGCCTGGTCGGTTGGAACATCAGTGAGCTCGATCTGAGTCAGAAATGAGCGCAAATCACAAGCATAAACGCGGGAGAAATACCTCAAATGAACGTTTGTAACATGATTTCTTGTATATACTTCAACCTGAACACTTGAAATATTTGAACCGTGGGTAAAAACATGTCAAGCCTCTATGTACACTGTCTTTCCGGAGCTGTGCGCAGCCATGAAACACCAATGCCAAAGTCTCTGAGCATCTTCTCTCAATACGTCTCTTTAGAAACAGAAGCTGAGACCGGCACTGCTTCAAGTACGACCGGAATTTGAAGAATGTCCGAAAGCACGCCAGCCTGGCAGCGGCCGACAGGAAACCGACATGAAACCGACACAACATAACATCTTGCGAATGCTGGGGCGCGTACTTACAATTTTGGGGCGGTCATGGTATGTCATGGTCATATCCGCTCCTCTTCTTCCCCCAACCACGGGTTTTCCTTCTGGTTCTTATCGCCTTTACCTTCCTTTTGTTGTGCGAGCAGCCAATCTGCACAGAACAAAAGTCACACCAGGAAAAAGCTGAGACCGCTACGTCTGAGGCATTCTGCAAAATCCTTGGTTGACACTCTGTGCCACTCTGTGCCACTCTGATCATCGGAAAGCGAAGAACATGTCCAGAGGCAAGCCAGCTACAGGTTGCCTCAATCCCACCGTCAGCGTGAGTGAACTATCATCATCATCATCATCATCATCATCATCATCATCATCATCATCATCATCATCATCATCATCATCTGAACAGTGTCCAACAGTGACAAAGGACAAGCACAAGGAGCAGAACCACGGCAATGCTAGCTAGCAACAAACGACAACACTGGGACGGTCACGAGGTGTTGCTTGACTTGTCATGTCAGGCACACCCTGAAAAAAATCCCCTGCTGGGTGGTGATCTCAGTGTGGTGGCGGTAGTGAAAATGGTAATACTAACCAGTAGATAACTGGTACCTGTAGTGGTAGTGTACATGGTAGTCTAGTGGTACTAATGGTAATAAACCTAGCAATAGCATTGGGAGCAGTTGCCGTCCTGCTGGTGGTGGTGGTGGTGGTCGTGGTGGTGGCGCTGGTGATGGTGGTAGCAGCTGTTGCCGTTGCCATTGCCGTTGCCGTTGTCGCCGCCGTCGCCGTCGCCGTCGCCCCCGCCGCCGCCGTCGCCGTTACCATTGCCGTCGCCGTCGCCGCCATCGTCGTCGTCTTTGTTGTTGGTAGTGGTAGTCGTCGCCATCATCGTCGTCGTCGCCGTCGGTAGTGGTGGTGGCGGCGGCAGCAGGGGTGGTGGCAACTCTGATATTAGCAGTAGTGGTAGTAGGTAGTACCACCTATCTGTGCACCAATAGAACCTCTGCCCAATCCTATCAAAGACGAGCCCGGTGGTTGATCGTTGACCCGAACAACGCGCCAAAAGCAGCCCAGACTGAAGCAAAGCTGTCCTTCAGCAATAGCCCTAACCATGACCCCGTAAAGTTATGTCATGTTATGTCTAGTTCCAACCTTGCAACCATCATTTTAGACACCCACTTGGGTCTCTACCCGCAGCAACAGCTCAATGATCTCCAGCGCATGAAGTGCTAATCGAATCATGGATTTAAACTGAGGTACCTCTACCAGGACCTTCCAAGAGGTGTTTATAAACAGCCTCTTAGAGGTCAAGGGGTGCCCAAAAACCACCTGTTGGAAGGTCCTGGTATACTTCATACATGTTCACACCAAAGCAACTTGTAAATGCATGCTGAACTGTTCCCACTCTTCCGGTGTCGTCCAACTGTCAAACACTGATCTCGATCACCCCGACCCCAACCAGCCGACTCTGCCCCCAAAAAACGAGTTCACGGTCCAACACAGGGTCTTCTCTGCACTGACTCTGCACTCAAACCAACTGGCCTAGATCCACTCCAATGCCATTCACGCCATGATGAGATAGATGGAAGGCGCGATGAGATCAGACACCCCGATATATAGAGAGATATCGGAGCAGTCTACATGCTTTCAATGGTCTTTCGGGTCCTTTCAGTGAACAAGAACATGGAATGTCCACATTCCTTGGTGCCAAGGGGCGGTCCTAACATATAAATGATGATCGGCTACCTAGGCACCTAGGGAGCATCCTCTTCCATCCAGCCCAAGGGGCTGAACCAGCGCGGCCAGCTCGGTGATCGCTGCTCCACTGAATTCGAAGCCTCGAAAGACGGCCGCTTAGCTGCGCGGCGGTCGGACGCGGGTTGGCGAAGGGGGAAGAACACATTAAACACAGTTCTGTGAAAGGACACCTCTGAAAAGAGTGAGAGAGAGAGATAGAGAGAGATGAATTATGATGAATTCATATGAATTCCAAGTCCAAACTACAAGTGTTCTCAGATTTGATGTGGGCATGAAGGGGGATCCAGAATGATCGACATACCTTGTGAGAAGTCCAGTCATATACAGTCCTACCTTTTCAAAACGGCTCCAGACTGATCTGAGGTCTCCCCACTTCCACTTCCAGTGGTTGGGCTGCCAGGAGCGGCTGTGGGGACAATTGCATCCCACGTCTGTCCTGCGGGAGGCCTCAGTGTCGGCCATTCACTTCTCTTCCCATGTCCACATCGCACGGGCAGCGCTTGATCTCAAGGGCAGAGTCGTTCCAGGGCCAGCACGGAACGCCCGAATCGGCGAATGCCTGACACCGCAGGAGGGTTCAGCCACCGAAAGCCACCGGACTCCGCGTCGATTCCGCGTCCCGCCGCCCAACTCCACACGCGGAATCCGCATGCTTTGGTGCCTCCCCTGGCACAGGTTCTGGGTTCTCCTCGACAATTTGGAAGATGACCGACCTGAGAAAATGGCCGTGGCGTCCATTCGACCACATCTGAGCCACGAGGCCGGTTAAGGGGAGGTGCATACTTCGAGGACCAACAGTCCAACAAGGGTGTTCTTTTGAGATGAAACAGTCCAACGGGGGGGTTGACAATTCCAACGGATTCGATATAGTTCGTCGGAGGCATTCTCTCACTGGCCTCTGGATGCCTTCTTCTGTGAAGAGCTCAAAGAAAACGTAAGAAAACAAAGAAATGCGGTCTTGCAAGGTCTCGCATCTCGCACCTCATTTGACATCTATCAAAGCGACAGGTCCAAAGAGAAAACCGTGTTCGAAGAGTCCAAAACCATCCAACAACCCCTAATTCATCCAGCCTCAGGATCCGACCCAAACCAACACCATCTATAAAAATAGCTCCAACGGCCATGGGGAGGCCCCAACTCGAAACCGCCGAACTTTTCCCGGAAAAAAAAAAACATTACTAAATTCTCCGTCCTGGTTCTCCTGCTGAAAAGACTCGGACCTGTTCTCCTTTGCCCTACCAGACACGACGCGCCTTCGGCGCGGGCCACCGGGGCTTCCGGGCAGCTCTTCGCCCTGCAGCAGGCGTTCTTGCAGGGTGGCCTCTCCACAGCCAACGAATGAGGCGCTTCACGAAGGCAGTTGATTACAGTATAGTATATGTACTGTGTATACATAGTATAGTATAGTATATACCAGGACCTTCCAACAGGTCACCACCTGCGACGCCCTTAAGTCTCCAAAAGCCACCATTTCGGAGACCTGTTGGAGGGTTCTGGTAGATGTATAGTTTAGGGTTTAGGGTTTAGGGTTATATGTATATACGTCCCTCCCCAAAACGATCAGTCCCGGTTTGGTGAGTGAACATGCTCTTCTTGGAGTGCTTTAATCAAGGGGGTCTGTGACTGTTTGGTGTTCGTCTGGATCGCAGCTCGTTCGACTCACGCATCACGGGAAGTTCGACGTGCGCATTCCAGGGGTGGACTCTCCTCATTGTTCTGGATCTTCGCTGGCCTATGGTCTTTCTTCCACCCAAAAAATCCAGAAATACCTCAAACCGGAAGATCCGGAAGTGGATGGTCTGGCACCGAAGGGCGCCGATGACTTTCCATGACTTTCCTGTAGAAAAAAGGGGTTGTCCACTTGCGATTCCACCACAGACAAAGTCAACCCACAGCCCTCTGTCTTTCTGTTCAGCGCGCCGCAGCAAAACTTGATGCGTTTCCTCATCCACCGCTCCGTCCGCTCAGCCTGTAGCATCTCAAGAGCCTCCAGGAGGCGACCACCTTGTGCTGCCACTTGTGCCTGGTGGCACACGCCGTGCCAAATCACCCTCCCACAACGCCAGGGGTTCCCCGCCGGGTTCCAAGGACACGAGGCAGTGCGGCGCGAATTGAACCGTGGTGGTCTTTTTTTCGACCGATGGATCATGGGTCTTGACCCTCCCGCCACCGGTTTCGACAGTCGACCCTCGCGCCACCGGACCAGAACGAACGTCTTTTTGGAGCGCAGTCCATGTGCAGAGCCACGAGCCACGAACACGAGTGGCTCAATGGATCAACAGCAAGCAGTTTAGAACATGCAACTGCCCAGGTCAACCGGAGCATGCAGGAGCGACTGCGTGATTGACCGGAAAGAAGGGGGCCGGAAGCAAACACCACAGTACACATTTTGTCTGTTGTCACTGTTGTCAAGCACAAAACTGTGCGTTCCAATTTGGTTGGAATATGATCTTGGCAGCCAGTCGCGCCTTCGATTGCACCTGCACAATCTTGATTCGAGCTGGGTCAATGGCCAACCTGAACAAGCAGCCAAAAGACATCTTGCTGGGAATCCAATCCGCTCACGTCAAGGCCAAAATTCTTGTCATGTGTGGATTGACAAACTGGATTGTTGATGGATCAAACACCCGCCCTACCAGAATAGTTTAGTTTTGCGTCATGAATTCATGCTTGTGGGCCCCGCTCGCGGTGCTTCACGTCGCCCCCGGCCACACCACTGGCGCCGCCCACTGGCCATGTCTCGGGCGCCGGACAGCGCAGCGACGTTGCTCACAAACTTGTCTTGCTCGACCGAATCAAAATCTGCTAAGGGCATGGACCTGGTCGGCCCGGCCCAGCTCGCGTTCTCCGACCGCGGACGCATTCGGCGCGTGCTGCGGAGGGGCACCCCGCCGGCGAGTCTCGGGAACGAGCGGGCCACCGTGGGAACGCAACGAACACATCAGTCGCAATAAATAGGTGATATATGGAGTTGTCAATCATCGTTAACTTGTCGTGTGATGTTCAAGGCAGATTCAAGACCGAACACTAGCCTTTTAGTGTAAAACCCTTAGTAAAACACTGGTTGTTTCGTAAAGGCTATTAAACAATGCGTGCGGTTTTCTTTGGTGATGTTTTTGGCGTTCGGGGAGTTTGGTTTTTTGCGGTCCTGGTTTCTCTACAGGTCCTTCAGTAAAACTGGAAAAGCATTGCGTTTGGGTGATTTTGTTGTGCGGTCGTGGTTTCTCTGTAGTTCCTTCAGTGGAACTGAAAAAACTATATTACCTTCGGATGACATAGGATTTAGAAAACATACATGGAAACTCACACATTCCCAAGTCATCTGCTGTGTCCCCTGTGTGTCTGGGTGTATAAATCCCGTGTCTTCAGGCAAAAAGAACCAAAAAGAAGATAGTGCGAAACAACATCACCAGAAGCAAAAAGCAGAGTGGGAACACAAAGAGGGGGAAAAGCATACAAAGCTAGAAAAGAAAGCATAAAGCAACACTAACTCAAGGATTGAAAACCAACTTATCAAAAGTGAAAGCAACAAAAACCATAGACAGAAAAGACATTACCCCAAGCCACAAAAAAGAGAATTAAAGTAAAGAAGAATAGCCGTGAAGAACAAACCAAGCGCAAAAAGAGCCGGAAAAGTAAGTTAAAAACACATTCACAAAGGAGCAATGAAAAGCAAGGAAAAAGCAAGACTAGCACGGAATAGGAGAGAAAGCAAGAAAAGCGGGCAACCACAGAAAAGATCAGAAAAGCAATGAGAAGCAAGACTAGCTCAGAAAAATAGATCTGAAAAAGCAAGAAAAGCGGGAGCAATGACAGAACAGCAATGAGAAGCAAGGAACAGCAAGGAACAGCAAGAAAAACAGAGGTGGTCATAGAGAAGCAAGGAAAGCAAGAGAAGCGGTCAGAAGCAAATCCAAAAACTACTCATCAAGCTCAACAAAAAGATCCCCTAAAAATTGCCCTCAACAATACAATTCAATACATGGATATACGTGGTGGTTCGAATACAACGGGCGAAAGCACGAGTCTCTTCAAAAGCGGCAACTCAGAACCCAACACGGTCATTGTAACCTGCACGACCTGCGAGATGCATGATGCAAGCTCATTGATGACTGCATACGAATATTCAAATGTCTGGATTGGGAATCAGGAATGCAATATCTCCGCAAGATGGCCCTTGTACATCCTTGTACTACATAATACGCAGTGTGTCTTTCTCTACAATTCTTTACACCTGCAGCCTACAATGTGATTGGGTTACAATCTGAGGGGGCTTCTTGGTCTCAGTGGTCTCGGCACGTAGATCCCTCGCGCATTCTCCCCCCGCCTGCAATAATCTCAGCAAGATAAATCCCCCACCGACGCTGGCGGCCTCGGTGGCACCGTGATGCTGCTCCGCAGATGTCCGCGGACGGACGCGGGTCCGGCGGTGCCACCGCCGACGGTCCAACCGATCTCACCCAAAGGTCCGATCTGCAGACCAGTCGGAAGATCTGTGGACCTTCTATCTTGAGAGGTTGGACAGCCATCCATAGGGCGCCCATCCCATATGTACCACTCACTACAGGGTCCTAGTTCGGGTCTCTCAATCTTCACCTCCCCCGGCGGTCAGGTCGGACACCAGGGGTTCGACACGGATTCTCCGACCCGGTCCGACCGGAGCCTCGGCGTGTCGGGTCGACGTGCGTCGTGACCTGCCCCCGAGGCCGCGGCACGTCCATCGAAGAAGCCTCCTTGCATCACCAAGTAGAAGCGGCGCCTCGGAGCTGGACACCCGGGCAACTGCTGAAGGCTGGGAACTGGCAATTGGCCAACATGTCTCTGGAGGAACCAAACCAGGGTTTCACATCATCCCCATACACTCCATGTATGGAATATATGCCTACATTGACCCCTCAAACCACCCCAATGTAGATATATATGGCATACATGGAGCGTCTGGGATCCCTTTGGGGGAGGGTTTGATGAAATCGACAGTTGGCAATCAACGTTTGGCCCTCCGACGCTTGTGGGTCGAAAGCATAGGAGCCATGAGGGTCGGTGAGTTCCGGTAGCCGCGCGGGGGATTTCCTGGCAGCGTCGCATGCTTCCTCCGACGCAGGTGAACGAGAGAACCTTGTGAACCTCGCTCATAGCCATACACTAGAAGTCCAAAGACTATCTTTGGCGGTATTAAAGTGAAGGAAATTCATGTTTTCGGTCACCTAAAGAGCGTTGTTGAACTAGTCTTGGACTCTCAGGAAGGAATGGTTTCGCCCCACCATGCCTACTCTGCTCAAGTTCTTTACAACATCCCTACTCCCTCCCATCCTTTAGAATCCTTCTTTTCTGCTCTCTGCGCCTTTCAAACATGTCAGAGATGCTTGGCCGTGTCATACAGGTCTTCCGACATGAGGCTGCCATCCACATAGACCTCATCCACTCGTCAACGCGAACCCGCATCCTCATCCCAACACCCCTGGGGCCCGACTTCACCCCTCGATCTCGCGCCATCGTCTTCATCGCCCCCCCCACTCGTCCCAACTCACTCGTCGCCTCTAATCGAAAGGGTTGGGTCAGGAAGATGTCCAGGCGAATCGTCTCATCCTGGCAGCTCCCACAGGATCGAAGCATCGAGAAGGATCGAGATGAAGATCTGTGTGGAACACACACGTCGAAGAACAGCCAACCGGAGGCCAGGCACCCAGCCAAACATGGAGTGTAACTCAATGCAGTGAAACATAGGGAAAACTCCGTCTCTTCTCCTGCTTGTTCAGTCTAAGTGAGTCTATCTTGTTGCAAGCGTCCGACCCCGCATCGATGGTCGAACTCAGAGCAGCAGTCCGGATTGTCGTTGAACCAGAAGAGGCGGTGATGCTTGGGTGGTGATGTGAACCTCAGGGAGCTCAGTGGCATTTGTGAAACGACCTGAGCTTCAAATGACTTCTGCGATGCAGACTTCTGCCTGCGTCATGCCTGGGGGCTCCCCCCCAGTACCAGAAACAGCCCCGGTGGTTCCAATCTGGCTTTCTGGAGATCCTTTACATGACAAGTGCGCAGAGGACTGGGAGTTCCATCCATATTTGTTTGCTTGGGACAGGGTTTCATGGCAAAGACCGCACAAACATCGACATTCAGACTGGATTCCAAACAATGTCTTTGTACATCTTTGTACAATGTCTTTGCGCAAGACAGAGTTTCCATGATCTGTCACTTGAGCACTTCCCAGAAATATGCTTGTTAAGGGCAGAGCATGGTGAGATTGTACATATCATTTGGACCTGCAGATCGCAAGCGAAGGAAGCAAAACTGGCACCATTTGCATCCATTAGCTGTGTTGTTGTTGCATATGTCATGTCATCTGGTTGTTTTTCTGCTCCGGTTGTCCGAGCTTCGCGCGAAGCTTCCAGCTCCTATCGTGCTCAGCTCCGACTGGCAGGCATGTCTTCTCCTCCTGTGGACCTGGACGGGGCAGGGCTTTCGCGCACCCTCCCTAGGCTTCCGGAAGCCCACCATGAATTGAATAGGCGGGTCATCATCCCGAATCAACGAAGGATTTTACACGACAAAAACCAGGACGTTCCCATTTTCGTTGATGGTTGAGTCCGGTCGAACGTCGCGTCTCGGGCCGAAAGCCAGGTCGCACCATGTCACGGTTCGAAAACCACCACCCGAGACGGGTCGGATCGAAAGCGAAGTCGGGGCCCCGCGACCTGTTGACCACGTGTCACGGTCATCGGAGGCCCTCCAAGCCTGGCGAAGAACGAGGCAGAACCAACACCAGGAGTCATAGAGCGAGCGATAGGGGTGCCAGTTCCCAACGGAGGAGAGGATAGGGATCGGGGTGCCCCGACCATCACCTCCACGGGCGCCCGTGGATGGGACGAAGCAAACCACCCCGGCCCATGTGACGAACTCGCTTCCTTCACATGCTCCTTTCGGCCGAAGCATGCAGTTCTGTGGAGCCACCAGCAGCATGCAGGCGTCACCGGTTGAAACGCATGCAGCGGAGCAGTCGGGCAGCAGTCGGGTCCTTCGGTCTCGGGTCGCGTTGTCTCCAACGGCGGAGATGGTTTGTGTCCCATGGAGAGGACTGGCGCCATTGTTCAAGGGTCCCCATGGTGCATGGTTGGATGCCAACCAGACCATAGGGTTCTTGAAAGAACCAGACGCTGCAGGGGACCCTATGTATGTTCAAGGGTACCATAGGGTCCCTATGTATGCTCAAGAACCCTATGGATGCCAATGGATGGGATGGGTATGGTTTGTTTTTATAGGGTTCTTGATCCCCAGAGGGTTCTTGATCCCCAGACCGAGACCATCCATGAAAGTGTGAAGACGTAGATTGGGGTGGTTGACCGGAAATACGCCAGTCCCATGGATGGTCGACCGGATGGTTCTTTCCCTGTTGATAGGGGCAGTGTCACCAAGGACCAGCCATGGTTCCAAACTCCGCATACCACCCACGCCATGGATGGTTGGATGGTAAACAATGGCAAACATATATAGACATGGGGCGGGACTCATCAAGCAACCCGAACTGGGTGCTGCTGGTCATTACCCTGGGAGAGTTGCTTCTGTGTTGAGTTTCTTCAGCCATTGCCGTCCTCCGCCGTCCGAAAAGAAGAAGGTCCAGCCGTCCTCCGCGGAACAGCCCTGTCCATGTGCCTTGAACTTGCTGAGCACTCGATTCTCAGGGCCTCCCACTGCCTGAAAAAGGGCCATTCGGATCCGAAGCAACACTCCTCCACCCTCAGGTGGATCCCGCAGGATCCTTCAGGTGCCATGCAAAATGATATCGGGAACCGGTTTCGAGGCCTCCGATGGTGGGGTCTATCGATTTTTGCGTTTGACCCGTGGTTCCCAGCCTTTTTCTGGTGGTTTTTTCTGGGACCCACAAAGGCGATAGAAGCTCGTTCGGGCAAGTGCTTCAGATCTAATTGAAAATCTATTTCTATACCAGGACCTTCCAAGAGGTGTCTATAAATAGCCTCTTAGAGGTTAAGAGGTGCCCAAAAACCACCTGTTGGAAGGTCCTGGTACATGTCCTCCCATCTCCCATCCTCCCCCAAGGATTTCGACAGATCCACTAATAACCCCGTGCAACGAACCCATCGAACTCCGCACTTCACGATTCTCCCATTCCCCCCATTTCCCTCCCTCGCCTCCCAGGTGAGATATCGGAGCTGCAGCTCGGGGCATTGAAAGTAGGAGGAGCCCACCTCCCTAGGTGAAAACGGCGATGTGTCGTGGCGTTTCTTCGTGTTTCCCCTGTTTGGTGCTTCGAGCGATGAAAAGGGGCATGGGGCATGCGCTTCCTGCCAAGCCGTTTGGAAAAAGTGCACATCAATCACGTGGCCGTTGTATCTGTTCTTTAGACATCTTTACAGACATCTTTAGACTCCTATTCATGGATACCACGCACCGCTGGCCGGATGAGGCGGCAGCGTGCAGGTCTGGATGGCCAGCGCCGGATTGTAGACGGTCACGAGCTCAGTGGTCGAGCGACATTCGGATCTGCAGACCCAGAAATGCCCTTGTTACTAGTAATTAGTTTCTTGTTACTAATAGGGATGGCCTCCAACCTAATAGCGATGGTCAACCGCTATCCTGGAGACTCTCATCGAAACCCAGTGGTTGTCAAGAGAAAAAACGTGTTCTTGAGATCTCTGGCGATCCTTTACATAACAAGTGATTGGGACTTGGGGACTTCCATCCAGGCTTCCTTCACCACTCTGTGAGCCATGACAACCCTGGAGTGGCTCGGTCCGCCCCCAGGCTTCGACCTGCTAAGCTCTGCGGCCGATGCATCAGGTGTAGAACCTAGAAGGCTGCCATCCACATCCGTCAGAACCTGAGTAGTGAGGTCGTGAGGCACTGGACACCTGGACCATCAGGATCTCTTCATGACTTTCTTTTCAATGTTGTGCATGGTCTGTGACCGCCAGCTCTTCATTACGAATCGTGTTCTTTTTCAAAAGCCTTCTCTCAAATCTTCGTTCTGGAAGGACATGGTTCAAATGTTAAAAGAAAAATGGTTCATTCCACTCCCAGCAGCCGCGGACGATGCTTGGCAAATAGGCCTACAAACCCAACTAAATAGTGAAAAACTGCCAGACACAAGCATATGAATAGAAAGTATATCTATTTCACATACCCATCACCATCTGGGTAAAAGGAGTCTTGCCCAGCTCATTTTATAGAGGATAATATAGGATAATATATGGGGGTTGGGTATCATTTCACGTTTGGCACCTATAAAATCCCAGGAAAATTCTGGTTTCTTGGCCCTGGGTCATCCGACTGGCGGCTCTCAGGGCCCGGCGAGCTGGTTCACTCCGTCGAACTCACCGGTCGCCACGACCTGAAGCTTCGCTGGAGCCCATCTGCCATGGGCTGGAGCCATCGAACCCCTCCCCATGCGCCACGTCCCAAACTCTTTCCAAATCGAAAGAAGCAACGTTCCTTGCAAATCGAAGCCTCCTCTACCCCCCACAATCCCCCCCAAAAAAAGTCACAGCCTCACCTTTCTCCCTCGACCCATCCGGGCCATCCCCTCATCTCCCCATCCCCATCCCAAGGCGAGACCCGCACCGAATTGTGCGTGATTCCGGACTCGCCCAGGTAGACCCGCGCTCCCGCCTGGCGCGTTTGCCAACGCGCGCCGCAAACGCGCGTGGAGCACACAACTCTCAGCCATGGCCACGGGCGTCCACGGGGCCTCCACTGAAGGCAGCCATTTCACACCCGTGAAGAATTGCGGATACGCAATGTCGATGTTGGTGGGGTTGTACCTGGGTGGCCACCGAAAGGCCAACTTGGCCAATTCTGGGGGGTCGAAGGTACACATGCACCGTTCAAAAGCATGCAAACCTGCTTCGCGGGCGAGTTTCAACAAAAATGACAAAATGCGAAATAGAAGGCAATATATATATATATATATAATAATAGTAGTAGTAACACTAATACTAATAATAGTATATAATAAAAATGATTATAGTTTAACTAATAGTAACAGTAACAGTAATACTAATAATAATGATAATTCATTATATGAAAATATACCCAAAAGCATCCGAATCATTCCGAATCCAAAACTCATCAAAATTCACTCTTTCCCGTGGCTCTGGGATGCTGACGTAAAGGCCACTGAGGGCTTGCCACAGTCTGAAGAGGACCAATGTCCAAACCTTCGGGCAACGGCGACCGGAGCCTAAGGGGAGCAGTTGATCAAGCCGATAGGCGACTTGGCCACAGAATGAAAGCGACCATGCGACAAACTACTGCTGATTTGCGTGAAACTTCTGATCTGTGTGAATGAAGCTCTATAGATAGGACCATCTCCGAGAATCTCCGAGATGGTGGCTAAAAGTCGCAGGTGGTGACCTTTTGGGTGCTGGTATACGGTATAAGATCTATAGAGTAGGTTGTTCTGTGTGAGTTGAGACGGGACCAGCAAATGTCTGTGTGTGTGGCCTGACATGAGTTTTCGTACACCTGATATGGAGAAAGAGTCTCAAGTTTCGCCAAGTGGGTCAACCATGGTCAAAAGCCGGGTACATGATACACCCCTCATTTCATCGGATATTCCCCCCTCATGTCATAGAGGAAATTCATTCAAATTCAATAACATTCACCTACGACTCTATTTTGCCGCAGAGAAGTAAAGATAGTAGAGGGAACCTTCCTGAAATCAGGTACTTCTTTTTGGTCAAAACCCTTCTTGTATCTTCTTTTTAGAGTCGACTGGACTCTCAGGTCTCAGGCGTCACGTCTTTCATGTGGATGACGTCTCTGATTCGAGACCCTTCGACCCATGGTTTCGCGGCGGCCGAAAAGGTGTTCTTTTCGGTTTCGTGCAAACACGAACGAAACTCACGAGACTCGTCCCAGGTGTTTCCTGGTCATGCGTTGAAATCTCAGCATGTCTCGGGCCGCCCAACGTGACACCATCCCAGTGCGACTCCGAATAGCGCGAGCCTCACCAGCGGATCACATCGGAGCCGGACATTTCGACGGAGCACACAATCGAGTCATCAATCGATGGATTTGCTTTAAGGAAAATTTTACAGGAAACCATGGTTGTCGTCCCTAAAACTATGGGTTTCCTGGAACATGACGTCAGCTGATCGCGAAGCCATGCACATCTTGAATGCTGTGAGCTTCATGCAGGAGTCTGCATACAACCCAGATCATCTCTAAGTTGCGCACCAGCAGAACCCATACGCTCCTCCCACGGCATGACCTTGGCCCCGAGCTGCTCGGATACAGAACAGGGGGCTAGATGTGCTTGATTCACCCGACCATCCTCTCCATACATACTATGATATACTGCACTTTGGTATATTGTCTGATTGGCATGCAGGTCGCTTATTGTTGCACCAGTGTTGTAACTTCCAAGCAGTCCAAACTCCAAACGCAAAATTATGCAAAATGTTCAGGTCAGACCGTCAGACCCAATAATGTAGTCCAAGTACCTTCTCAGAAGGTACTTGGACCCTCCAAACCTACATAACAGTGTCTCCAATCACCTTCTGAGGTACTTGGATCCCTAAGGTCTTGATTAATGAATCACCCCAATTGAATTGGAAATTCTCTTCAATATACATTAACCAGAGAGTCCCATGGTTCAAGTCATGCCACTGGTCCTCAAATTCTCCACCTTCACCAATACCTCCCAGGCGTCGTCTCCGCCTCTCCCTGCAGTTTTCTCACTTGGACTCCAAACACACATCTTGATGGGCGTCGTTGGCGGTCGGCAGGGCTGGCGTTGGCGCGCGCGCGCGGAGACGTCCGACGAACCGGAGGACGAGTTGATAAGTCCGACGTTTCTCGCAACTCGACCCACAACCTGGCGGGGCGCACCGTGATCCCTTCAGCTTCGCAGAACTTCGGGATGTTGTTGATCATGTGGGTCATGATGCCCACCTGCGCACAACTGGGGACGGGACTGCACCTGTCAATGCAATCATCCATCACAGATTCAGTTAGGTGGCAGCAAAGTTTTAAGGACAAAATAATAAGGCTACTTGCTGGGTGCCTGCAAACTGCTGCTCAACGGGCTCAACACTTCACATGCCAAACATATTCAACACACGAACCGTTCATATTTCTCTCCGTTTGTCTCGTGGATTCTCTCCGTCTTCATCGGAGCTCCATCGTTGGACCCACGACATCGTGGGCTCACGGCCCCGCACCCGGCGATAGTAGTCCCCAACCACGGAATTGCAAGCCACGCCGACCGCATCCGTTTCGCCTAAGCACATGCAGCGATGATCGCCTCTTCGTCAGGAGGACTGCCTTTTTGTGTGTCTGTCTGGTTGGGGGGTTGGGTTCAAAAAGAAGGAGCTTCCGCAAGCCCTGGCAAATGGAAAAGGCGACGATTTAAACCTGTCAAGCCTTGTGGAACTCTTCTATCTTGACCATTTTGGACCCATATGTGTTCGCACGTGTTCAATCGTGTTCACACGTCGCCCGGCCGTGACGTGTGAGTCACCCGTTCTTTGTTGGAAACAAACACCGTGAAGTCACCAGCTTTACAGATACGGTCCGTATCTATGTGTTCGACAACTGTAGCTACGTCAAGGATTTCGTGCCGGACTATGCCCAAAAACATAAGGTGTTGTGTCGAAGTTTTGCACAGTTCGAGGGTCCAAAACTCAAACGAGATAATGATGTTCATCCCGCCAAACATGGCAACTTTCGTTCTTGATTGTTCAAATCCAGCAATGGTATCTTATCAAGCTTTTTTTCATATCATGGTGTTGAACTGATACTCCAAAGCTTACCTTGCACCGTGCATATCCTTGCATCTAACCCGCATGGAAAGGCAGCATCCAAACGAAATTACACAAGACCAGCAGACGACTTATCACAAGCACAAGTACACAGACCAATGGCTGCTCAAGAATGAAATAGAGAGCACCATGGGGTTACCATCGGGTACCATCCATTCACGTCGACACCCGAGAGTTCAGATGTGTCTGTCCTCTTTCCCGAAACAAGAGCGAATGTGTGCCACTGCCAACACGTGCGGCACCTGGATGAAAGAGCTTCTTTTTGCAAGATGCAATCGAAAAGGTTCTGACTCCAAGGATGTTTGGCATAAATGTCCGAAGCAACGCTTTCGCAACAGCAACGACGACTGTGATCGGAAACAATAAAAGAACGCAACAGCTCCTGTGCAGGCATAGGCAAAGAACGAAAAAAAGAAACGGACATGTTGTCCGTGGAGTGTGACGTGGTATGAAATGTTTTCAAGTTTGGATTGACACCGTCAAAAACAGCTCAAGGATATTCAAGGACCTTTTGCAAGAGGGTCGTGAACTCTAATAGGCCCCTTGGGCCCGTACTAGTAGGAAGGACCAGAACGAACCCTGTCAACCATCTATCAACCTATGAACCCCTCAAAAGAACTGCTTCGGTATGCGATTCAATAGGATTCATCTAGAGGCTACTGGCTAGTTCCACTGTCACTCCCGAGGCGTTGGCCATAGGCACGGCACTCTGTCGAGGCATCACCTCAAGTGATGGGCGCTCCCAACTGCAAGCGCTGCGGTTTTCAAGATGCCCAGGAGTGCCACCCTGGTGGGAGGTCAACTGAAGCCTGTCAGTTTGGAGGTTGGGTTCCATCCTGGGCCTAGCCACCATGAACCAGTGGTCAAAGAATGACCTACATGCCGGCATGTGTTGAGATGCCACTCCACTGCAACTCCCTGCTCCGTGAAGATGCAAGTTCGCAATGTTTGCTTGAAACTTGAAACATCAACGGCAAACATGTGCAAAATAGGAATTCACAAGGCACAAGAAAGCGCAGACTGCCCTTTTCTTGGCCAAGTGGTAAGAGTCTTCTGCTGGAGTCTTTTGGCTAATAAAAATGTTAAAACATGTTACCACCACTCTCCGCATCTTCCAAGCGATGCTCTCTCTAAAGCCAGAAGTCTAAGCGAGTGCCGTCCTTACCTTCACGCCAAGTCCTCCCCCGAGGCAGCTGCATGTGGATGCTGCAGTCGATCCAAAGACCGAGATGTTGTAGGAGTAGGTCTGACATGGAACGTACGGAAAAACACCGCGCGCACGAAACGAATCAACTTCAGATCCCGGTTCAAGGGACAATCTACAAACCATCGTCTTCCTCAAAACGACGGGTGTCCTGTAGGTGTTCCCTTAAATCACCAATTCTGGGATTAAGATCCTTAAAAGCCGGCTGCCAATGCAGCATGACAAACCTACCGCAACCAGGCTGCTCGATGGTTCATGTCGGTGGTGGCACGCACAAAGCGCAAGGCCATCTGGGCGGCGGCGACCAGGAAAGCGCATCTTATTGATCTTATCCATTATTAGTATTGTCACGTCCATGTTTGCTCCAACAAATATGATATGATGGAGGCAAAAATGCAGGCTCCTTCTAGCTGCTCGCATACTGCATGGCTCCAGCAAGTGGCTCCAGCAAGTGGCTGAGAATGTTTCAATCTGCTTAGCCCCCTCAGGTCCAAACTCCTATGTGGTTGTCTGCCAGCAGGATGGTATCAAGCCTGCCACCCCGGTGCGAACCGCCAACACAGGGGTCATGTTGGCTGTTGGGGCACCTGGAGATCTAAAACCCGCAGACCGGCCCCGGTTGATGCATCAACCCGTCCACATGCGTCAAAAGAGGGGTCTCCAGGTGAAAATTGGATGACCTCTCATAGGTCTCAAACATGGGTGTGCATCCGTGTGTACTTCTTGAAATAGGACACCACCCTCGACGCGGCCACCGTCCAGAGCGCGGCCACCGTCCCGAGCGCCAGTCTACCCACCAGGAAAGGGGGTCCCGTTGGAGGGATGCAGTCTGGGAGTCTGGGACTGGCCAGACCCCTTGATTTGTCCAGCGGATGGGTTGAACCATGTTGAAACATTTGACCCGTCGTTGGATGGGAAAGGGACCCTATTTTGAAGGGGAATGTATTTCGGGGGGGAATGGTGCTCCAAAATAGAGGTCTATAGTCAGGGAGCCTTGGGTGGTGCTGGTCCGGTTCATCAGCTTCTAGCTGTGGTGAAATAGTCATCATCCAGTCCCATGAAGTGTCTGGGGCTACACCCCAGAAAGCCGCCGGCACCAGCGCGCGTTTCGCGTGCGTTTCGCCCGTACTTTGTCGCGTTTCCGCGGCCCGTGGGGCTCCGCGTCGCGGCTCCGCTCCACGCCGTGCGGCCTCACATTGGCATTCTGGTCCCCTGACATGATGCCTGCGGCGTGCGGATTTTTCGGTTCGCATCGACGGCAAGCATCGGCGCAGGAAGTCGCTGCCCTTCTTTCACACAGAAAAAAAATAACAATTACAGTAAATGATTCTTCTGCGCTGGTATGATGAGTGCAAATAACCTAAACTGGAACTGCGAGAGCATGTGTGCCTTGCACTATTCAAGTTCCCAACACCCCATACTAAAACCGTGACGTTAACGAGCCCAACGGATCCAAGTCTGCTCAAACTTGCTCTCCCAAGTCTTCAAATCTGCCACGTCGAAACATTCAGATGAAATTGATCAACCCCCCAAAACCGTCCGTTGAAAGACCGGTTCGCCCCAAAAAAAGGAATAACACGACCACCGGTGAGAAGCACACGTGTGGGGTCCACTCGCGTCTGGCGCCTCCATGGGCGGACTTCCAGGCAACGAGGCCGTGAACTTGTGCGCATTGATCACAATCATCCTGCCACCGTTTTGAAGTCTTGGGAACCCGAGGATGGCCCTTTGGGTACGGCGGGTAAGACGGCCGGATTCTCGAAGAAGAATGGTACGTATGTTTCCTGGCTGCAACGGGTAACCGCAAACCAAAGCGAGCCTCTTTCAAATCTGTTCAATTGGATGTAAAGAAGAAGTGTGAAGAAGCTCTTGAGGTGGCCAAACTATGCCACAATGGCATGTTCAAGCTGGGCTTAGCTGACTTCTTATGAAAAATGGTGGTGACAGGGCAGGTTCTGACTGTGCAGCTGAGTTCTGGTTGCACGACTTTTGGTGTTCTGGTGTTCAAAACATGTCATCCCAATGGGAACACCTGTCACAGTGCAGAATTCGATCGATGCCAAAGTTCATTCCATCGCTGCGGACCCTGAGCATCAACATCCGAGCGCAGCCTGGCATGCGTCCAAGATAAAGACACCAGTCCTAAGCGATCCGAGCGTCGTTTTCAGTGTTCTTCTCAGAAAAAGGAGGCCGCTCTTTTTTGAGAATGGTACGTCTGGTCCAAAAGGGGTATGCGGAGATGCCCTGCCCATCTGGTACAGTTCGACGATCTTTTGCCCGAAACTGAAAATCATGAGTCTTGGACTCTGTGACACACGCAAAAAAAGTAAAAAAAACTGTAAAAGTGAAGAGCTGTGCGTCTTTCTCGCCACCGCCCGTCTGAAGGTTACCCTCTAAGCACTCCGCATGGTCGCCACCGCTTCGTTCAGCTCCTCCTGGATACCGAGCCCAGGAGGACGCCGTGATCTCGCCGCTGCTCAGACGAGAAAAACCCTCTCCTGTTGCAGCCGGGCCAGGCCGAGATCGCCTTTTTGGCCTCAAAGGTCATGCTTCGGGCTTGCTTCGGACGCTGGACGCTGGTGGTGGAAAGAAGGAGCCCATCTGTCTCTTCCCTGTGGCACCCAAGTCAGTGAGGGTGCTCAGGGTCTTATTTTAAGGGAATGATACAGCAAAAAGTTAAAATAATGAATGAATGTGTTCAATAATAAATTTTAGCAAGAATACAGTAATATAAAGGGACAAATGGAAAGAACTGGAAGGTGAATGACAGCGGTGAATGATTGATTATATATTAATGAATGATGTGTATATCTGTTTAATTGGTGTAAGACCTGGCATGCGAATTATGGTATGTTCTTTCTTTCATCTTGCAAGCTGAGCGAATGAACGAACAACATTAAGTTATATGTTAATTATTCATCCGTCATGTACTTTATTGATGGTACATCATGAAAATAGATGATTGCAATAAGTAATAAAAGAAGAGATAGATAATAGATGATAATAGATTAATGACCCATAAATCCCATCATATAATATTTTATTGGGTTTATGGCTGATATTATCTATGCTTGAAGACAACACCAACAAGAAAAAAGTCCACCATTCACGTTCCATTTCTTTAAAAAAAAAATGAAATTAATAGTATATATATATTTTTGATGTCATGTCAGTTCATCCTCACCTTATCATCATCACCTTGCATTTTTATATCTTAGGAAACTATTTGATAAAATGCAAGAAGAACGTGATCGGGAGTGGGCCAGGGATGTTGGAAGATTGTGGCAGATTCAGGGTGACCCAGGTAGATCTGCTCCATGTTCACTCTTGGCAAAGTGCCCACGTGTCAGATTTCTCAACTTGACCTTTCGACATCAAGTTGGGGGCATTCTTCCAGCATCAAACTCTGGACGAGTCTGGTCACTGGTCCATACCTATACGATGGCGTGTTGCAGCACGTTCATGTGCACATGTTCGCAGAGATGTAAGTACTGTACTGATTTGAAGCATTTGGACACATTCAACATGGATGCTTGCTTGAAGCAGCTTGCGCCCCCTTGGCACCATCTGTGGTTTTTCGCTTCCAGTCGGCAGCTTGGCATCTGGCAAGCTTTCATTTGGGGCCGGAGGATGAATCCAGTGTCACAGGATCCTGCACCAAAGCGAGGCGCGGTTCCCTATCAAAAAACCAAGGTGGCCGCGCGACCCTAAGATGAATTCGTTGGGCCGCGCGACCCTGCAGGATGCTCTTCAACACTCCGACGGCGACGAAGACGTGTCAACACTCGCGTCCCTCCTGCAGCGACATTTCCATAGAGCTCCGCTGGTCTGACCTGCAGTTGGCATCGGGTCTATGCTGGGCGTGTTTTGGTTGCGGTGGACCATCCAGTCCGACCTGCCCGGTGGAACATGTTTCACACGGCCGAATCAGTGTTTAACGCCTTTTCAGTGTGGAACCATCGGAACAATGGAACGGAAAAAGTGGAAGTGCGGAAAGCCTTTCCCAGACTTTGTTTCTCGTTGCGGTGCTGAAGACTGAAGAATGCTCCGAAGATCTCCGAAGCACCACCGGATGGTTGCGCACGGGTGTCACACCGCTCCGCCATGCCCCCAGCCTCCAAGTAGAAAGACCCAAAGTGCCGGATCCATTCTGTGGGCAACGAGGCAGGGTGGACTTGGAACCCTGAGAACTTGGAAGCCAGAACTGCCTTAAGAACTACAGCCTGGTCACCTCGGGGCCCCTCCCCACAATCTAACTTAACCACCTGGCTAGAATCAGGGCGCTAAGAAAAAGAACATCTGTTATCATCTGTTACATTCTGTTACTATAGTAGCGATGCCTTTCTGCCCTTGTTCCTATTTTTAGCGATGCCAGCGCCCCTAGTAGCGTGCGATCGCTCCTGGTATTCCTATCATATGCCGTTTCGGCGTGTTTGCCCTGTCGAGGTATCTGCCTTTGTTCATATCTCTTTCTCAGCGAAGCCACATCTCAGCGTCCATCTATCTGGACCCTTTCGCAACCTCACCGGTGGTCACCGGACAGTCCCGACCTCGCGCCTGTGTTCTCATTGGGGTGTCGCAGGGTCTCAATCGCAATGTTCCTCCGGAGCACCACGGCATCATGGCTACTGGTCCCTCCTGCACGGCATCGCGCGAGCGCGAGCGAGGGAGCGGGGGCTGTTCTGTCATTCTGTCCACACGGTCCGCACGGTTCTGTCGGCAAGGTCCGGGGACCATCGCGACCAACGGGTGGAAACCAAACTGGCGGCTTCGGCGTCTTCTCGTTGGCTCCAAGGCACTGATCCAGACTGCTGTACGAGTGGTCCTGAGAGGCTGGACGATTGCTGGATGTGCTGTACGACTGTTGGGTTGAAAAGGTCTGTCTGCGGACGCACTGATGGCCAATCGGGGCCATCCAAAACGGCCCTCCAGGATCTGACCAGGCCTGTGGAACACGTTGTCAACGAGCTCCAAGTGAGAGACGTAGTTCGCCTGAAACAAACACATGGATGCCCATGCGCGGTACACGTACACCTATCGAATCCCTGCCCCAGGCCTCGACCACGCTCCTGCTCCGAAACATCACTCAGCCCAACGGTGGGCGGAGATCGAAATCCTCCAGATCGCGCGAGTTGGGCGCCTCAATGGCGCCCGACTGCGAGTAGCTGAAGACGCAGTTCTCCACACGCGACATGTTCTTCTGGCCCCTGAAGCCGTTTGTGTCGTTCAAGATCAAAAGGCGAAGAAATCCCTGGACCCGACTGGTTTACAGGGGCAACACCTGGTGACAGCTCCCCCAGGTTCGCCACCTTTTCGGCTTCTAAAACCACCAGACTTGGAAGGTCCTGGTACTGGTGTCTCGGGAATAAGTCAGGGAAGTTCCCTTCAAGACCCTTCTTTCTTGATGGTCTTTGACTCCCTCGAGCCGGATCGTCTTCGCTCGAAGCGAAGCTCGAAGCGAAGCGCTGTGAGCTTTCTCTGCCGCTTTTGGACTCACTCCCGCTCCCCGGGTTAAGTGGAACCACCATTTGTTTAATGGCCGGGTCATCCCGAACAACCATTGTTTTACGGTTTTACACTACAAGTCACCAGATCAACATCTGTCCGGTCAAACATGGTCAAACGGACTGCGGACTTCCAGGGGAACTCTCTTGGAGTGAAGATTCGGGTTCAATCTGTTTGGGTTTGAACAAGAGGGCTGAGCTTCAGGCCCGAGGAAGTTGAACTTCAAAGCCGGAGCTTGATACCAGAACTTCCCTGAGCGACCATGGGCCACGCTGCAGTCCCGGGTTCCTCGAATTGGTCCCGTCTCCGCTTTCCGTCTTGAACTGAACCAGTTACGAAACAGAGCAATGCTTCACCAGAGTTCATGTATACTGTGCGGGCTTCATGCACACCCAAAAGAATCCAAAAGAATCAAGAACGGGAGGCCGGGAGGCCGGGAGCTCGCGGAAACATCGGAGGAAAAGACCCTGCAGCCCCTTTGGAGCAACCTTGGATACCTTGTAGAAGGAAAAAACACTTCCATATAAAGCATCACCCTAGGCTTCCAACCACCGTCGATTTATACAATGGTTCTTACCGAACAACTGAACAACCATTGTTTTACCAAGGATTGTCTTGGGAAAAAAATACCAAAAAAACCGGTGGCTGGGGGCTTTCCAAGGACCTCAGAGGCCATGAACGAACCAACTGCATCCGAGATGTCCGGCCCATGCGTATGAAGTCCACGTTGCTGATCGTTGCAATGCCTTCCTCGTTGCTGTTCCGAGTCGGACGCACGGACGCGTGAGGGTCTCTGATGGTCTCTGTCTAGAGATCTCCACCCCCCAAGGATCCATCAGAAGCGAACGAAGACCAGGCTGTTTTCTGCCCCAAGCCCCCGATTCATCCCCAACTTTCTAGAGGAGTTGGGTTAGTAAAGGCCTTGTGAAGAAAAATAGACCATTCTTTACTGACCGTTACTGGTAAGGACATGACAGGACATGACACCCAATTTGCCAATCTAGAGTCATCTCGAAGCTTCGACCCCTGCGAAGGCTTCGGGGTTCTTCCCCTGTCCATGCGCACTCGGGCCAGAGTGCCTCCACTGATCGTGTCGAAATCTGAGGACCCGGACCCAATTGCCGTCGGAAGAGCCACCAATCACCACTTCGCCTGGTGGCCACTCGGAGCCCCGCGACAACCGGGTCCAAGACCGACCATCCCGGCCGCGGGGATCAAGCTCCACCTCTCGTGGCGAGGTCCCGCCGCGGGGATCCAAAAGGAACACTTTAGGCCATGGGGGATCAAGCTTCGGAGGTTACCTCCCTCTCTTTCCTATTTGGTGACAGGTCAACAGACCACCTTGCTCAGTCTCGCTGGGCGGATCGCCTCCATGCTCCTCCCAGTCCTCTCCAGTCTTTAAGACCACCTGGCCGGTTGCGGTAGCAAGTCGCCCCATGATCCCATATGATCCCATCACCTGCTGCAACTGCTTTCTACCACTTGCTTCGAACGGGGATCACTCGTGACCACCCACACTACTAGGTCTCCAGCGGACAACCATTGGAAGCGCAAAGTATGCTTTCGCTACTAGGAACAAGTGCATCGCTACAAGTAGCAAGAAGCTACTAGGTTGGAGGATGTTGGAGGGCATTGCTATTAGGTTGGAGGCAAACGCTACTAGGCTAGCAGCAAGAAACTAGTAACAGTCATGATCTTTCGCTTCATCCGAAAGAGCTTGGAGAACTTCGCCCCATGCCCCAGCCACATTGGAGCGACCATCCAGCAAGGCCACGGCCGCAGCCAGGAAGGGTCGGGGCCAATGCGTGTTCTCCGCACTGCCTCAGGTCATGCTCATCCTCGGCATAATATTCGTCGTCGTCAAACCAATGAATATAACTACCAGCACCGACGACCAACAGGTCACCAAGTGAAACCTGAGACAGGGCCTTTCCCAACCCTCCATGTCGGAGACCTGGCAGGGGTTCAGTGCTGGTACTAGCATATCATATCCTTATCGTCGCCGTGGTCGTCCATGACCATATGAACTCTCTTCTTGGGTTCATGAGGTCGAGTGGTTCATGAGGTCGAGTCATCCATGAAATGGCCCATGAAGACCGTCATCACACGGTGAGCCAAGCTCTTTCAGAACACGCCAAGGGCCAAGCTGTCCACGACTCCAGCAAAATGACGATGGGTCAAGGCCGAATCCAGCGTGATGGTGGTGGTGTCACTATTCGCCTCGATGCCAGAAGAAGCGACGGATTCAGATTGGGGAACTCACATCGACTTCTCAAAACATCCAAAATGAACAAGCCATTAACACCCAGTTCAAGTGTTTTAGAATTTAGAAACTCTCCTGACATCCAAGAACCATCCAAACTAGCCAGTGCTAGTGCTGGTCTCTCCACGAACACTGCCTACGATCTGGTATACCGCCTGCCAGCCGGCTGCCAGCCGCCCAGGTGCCCGCACGTCATAGACCGGCATCCCAGTGATTCTCCGCACCTCTCCAGGGAAGACTCACTCATCACTCACCCACCCACCCACCCCAGCGATTGGATCCATTCCCCTTTCTTCAGGAAAAACGGCGTCCAAAGACTCAACCAAGAGCCTCTTCAGGTCGCCTCAAAATACTGTATTGGATTCTCAAACCTCTTCAGGTCGCCCTTCACTTCCCCATTCACCCCTTCACCCACTACCCCTCCGTTTCCATCACCTCACCCACTACGTCTCTCCGTTTCCCCCGACCGCAACCCGCCGCAAACCCCAGCCGTTCCGCCCTCCGCGGCCCGGGGCCTCTGTCTCCGTGGTTTGAGGAGGCGAGGGGTACTCCGTGGCCGAGATCGCCACCTGCTGCACCCGAGGGGCGACCGCGGGCCGTCACGGCGTTGGTCGGCGACCGCGGGGCGACCGCGGCCGGCGATGGGTGGTGGTTCGGTCGGTCCCTTCGAAGGGACCGGGGGAAGCTGGGGAAGGCCTTCCAGCGGCGGTGAGTTAGGGGGCAAGGTGAAGGGCGGGAAGTCAACGTTCCGGCCGTGAAGGGTAGACTGGTCCGCAGAAGTCAAAGCAATTCCAGAAACCATGCCAGTTCCATGAGACGCCGGGCATTCAGGAAGTCAAACAAGTCAATGCAAAAACAAGTATGGCGATGGTGGTTGGCATAGAGGAGGTGACTCATGGTGGATCTCATGCATGATTGATGTACGACTCTGGCACAGACAGGCTTCACATTAACCCAGTACAACTCCACACAGAAATGAAAATGCAACCAACGTTACAAAACAAGGAACACGTTTATATAAATGGTCCGATGTTTTTTTCAGAGGGAGCTGTTCGAGATGTCTTTGTGGTGGTCTACTTAGTACTCAACAAGAACTCAGATCCACGTGGCACTCGTCCGGTGCCGCCGGCCCCCCCTCTCGCTCTCCTTCTCTCTCCGCCTGCGATCCGGGACCCCAGTCAGCGAGGTTGCCCATGAGCACCAGCTGCGTGGAGCCTGGCGAAAACGTCGGAACGGAAAAGAACGGAAAGGCCTGCCACCATGGGGGCTGCCACCACGGAACGGCCGTCCATGCGTCCATGACGCAAGTGGTGAAAGCAAGGGATGGGTCAAGCGTCCATAGTAAATAAGCAAGAAACATGCCCTAGAAGTCCAATTCAACTCTCTTTAGACGCACTGAAGGTTTCAGGAAAATCCCTCAACTCTGGTCACCTAGTTAGACCATTCTTGTGAATGGTGGACTGTACTCAGAGGGCATGCACCAGGGATTCCACGGATTTGGGGTGTTGATTGGAAGGACAATGATATATATGCTGGGATATGTTGGGGATGTCTAGAAACCACCCGAACTCTATGGCTCTCATGAGGTCCTCTGGATACAAATAGAATCGAATACATTCGAATACTGTTATATAGTTACTAGGGCCCCAAAACATTGGGGTGCTTCATGGACAACCCCAAACAAAAACCTCCTTTCGGGCCTGTCTCCTTTAGAATCTTTAGACAACCTCAGGATATCTTAGGGCCCCAAATGGGGCCCCAAATGCTGCGGGGAAGGCGGTTCCGCCGCGGCCTATGGCCGCCGTCTGCGAGAGTTTGGTCCATGCCTGTCGGTCCAGGAGGTGCCGTCCGAAGCAGAAGGCCAGTCCGAGGATTTGGTTCCATGATTTGTTGCACCACCACCATCTGTTCTGAAACGAGGAAGAACGGCAGAGCTTTGAGCTGTGTGGCTTCGCCAAAGGATCCGAGTCGATGGTGCCGGTGTGAACACCGGGCGAACTGCTTCTGGTTGGGACATGTTGGGACCCAGACTCGATGAGAACTGCTAGATGTGAAAGCCCGCCAGATGAGCCCAGAAACATCTCAGTCATTCAGTGAAATCCCGCGAATCTGACTGCTTAGCAAAGAAAAGGGAACTTTGGTGCCCAATTCCTTTCTATTCCTTACGGCAAGCACCATAGAGAATATTTATATCATGATATAGGTCGCCAGAGAAGAGATACACCCAGAGTGACACCACCACTTTTCACGCCCAGAGCGACACCTCTTGAGATGTCTTTCAATCTCTGTGCCATCTTCCGCCCTCGGGCGCTGAGGATTCGGATCCTTTCCACCCATCCCTTTCGCCCGGAGGGGAGAGATCCGGTGCAGATGTACTCCCACGCCTGGCTGGTCCGGGGTGTTCCAACCTGGAAGGAGTCGCAACGTTCGCGGAACCCGCGTTCCGGAGGACTTGGACATCATTGGATCGCACTTGACTTACATTTAGGCATTGGGGTAGGCCAGACCTGGGGTCAATGTACGTAATACCAATCCCCGCGGATGGTCTGGGCATATAGAATATGTAAGCCAACATGACCCTCGGATGCCTTGGATCGCCTCGGCGCCCCCCGAGCCGTTCGAAGACCGAAGGCGTCTCGAAAAGGCGACGTCGACGGATCGCGAGGAGTTCGTCGACGGATCTCGTCGAGGCGAGGGATCTCGGATCTCGGATCTTTCCTCTCCAAATCTCTGAGCTTTCACTGCATGTCTCTCAATTTCTCACTTTGGGGAGAAAAAGAGAGAGAGAGAGCGCGCGCGCGCGCGATGGGAAAGGGAAAGGGAAAGGGATTCGGGGAGCACACCGAGAGGGTGTCCCAGGTCCCCGGACCGCCGAGAACTCGCCCAGCACCGAGATCACCTGGAGTCGCCCGGTGAAAATCGCGTCTGGTCGGCGCTTCAGTTCGGTTTCGGTTTCGCCTTCGGCACCGCCGGGGGGGGGTCTTGGGCGGTCGGTCAACAAGAGATCATGAGTATGCAGGTATGATCAGGTAGGTCATGGAGTCATATTGGTCTGGGCAGTTCGATTGATTGGTCTGGGTCTCCTTTCCTTCATTGAGCAAGAGAAGGAGGGGGGTTGGATGTTCCGAAGCTCAGAGACTGGCTACGCGGCTGTCCCGCATTCTGCGACTCCTTCAGCCAGCGCCCGCGGCGCCGCCGAACGACCGCGCAGCTGGCTGAACCACCACGCCATCCGCATGGTCAGCACGGTCCATGCGGTGTTCCACCGCGCCTTGTTCACGAGGAAAAGGCCCTCCACCATGATCACCGTGATGGACTGACCATCGGAGAGCAGGGCCCCAGGGCGGGGTCTTCGGGAGCGTCCGGTTTTGGCATGGGACGTTTCGGAGTGGTTCAATCATGAAACAATCAGATCTGAAGTGGATTCCTCTTGCCCATTTGTAGAATATAACTCTTTTGTGAGTGTCCTTCCTGCAAAACGCAGACTCCAAAAATCCGTCATCCAGCCCCCCAGAACATGAAAGCTCAGGTCTCTATTATGGAAAAAGATCGTGGGAGAAAGAAGTAGTGTCAGATCGCGGAATCCGTGCTTATGTCCATCTCGAACAATCATGTCAACTAAGAAATCCCAGACGAGACCTCTCTCTCTCTCTCTCTTTCAAAAGGAAGAAACACCTCTTTGGGCGCATCCTTCAGTAGCTCCAGCATCCTCTGGCATCCTCCAGCCGGGCCTGCTCACTGCCCCAGAGGACGATTTCTGCCTTGACATTCGGTGGCATGGGATTCTCCTCAGTGCGAAGCACACGGTGCAGCACACGGGGTGAAGACTGGACTTCACCAAGGACCAAGGAGTGAACAGTGAAGTTCATCAATACTGTATAACTGTTTCAGTTCGAGTTCGAGTTCGAGTTCGAGCGGGGCACACTATGGAACAGTGATTCAAGGGTGATCAAAGACTGCTTCAAGTAGATCTCGATCTCTGCACGCACAGTCCAAGTATCGTCCGAGTGTGTGACCCTTCTCTCCCTGGCATGGCACGGAACCAGTAGATTCTCGGCCCTTTTGAGCCACCCGGCAGTCGTTCCCATATGCAACCTGCCCCAGACCTGCACTTGGTGCAACATGCGAGCCTGAGACACTTGAATTTCTTCCTACCAGCTAGTTCGGAGAAGGATTGCATTCATCAGTTTACTTTGGGTCTGTCCTATTGCCAGTAACAGTGGAGCATGATCGTTAGTGAAGGCCCTTCTCTGAAACAGTGACATCGACCAACGTTGGCCCGGGAAAGCTCTTTGGTGCGAACTCGACTCCCGCACCTTCACCGAGTGGGCGTTGAGTGTGCAGTTCAGTGCACGATCAAACTCAAGCTTCCCCTGGATGTCAAGCCAATGCCTGAGTCGAACTCGGTCCCTCCGCTGTAAACATCGACCGATGGAACGGGCCGACTTCCAGTCCAGGCAACGCGTTTGCTTGTTGTATGAACCCTGGAAGTCCAGCGATTATGTGTTCCCCCACTGAAGGAAAGGAAAGTCCCAAACTTCTGGTCGCCTAGTCAGGCCTTTTTGAATGGCAAATTCAATCTTCTCTTTCCCAGAACCGACCCCAGTTTGGGAGCTCAAACATGGTTTTTTCCCTGTTACTGTAGGTCTCTTTGTTGTCCCTAGGCTTCCTGGCCCACCATTAATTTAATAGGCTTTACCGCCGAATCAACTCAGGATCTTATACTACAAACACCAGGTCGTTCCCATTGTTTTCATGGTCATCTTGGAAGTCTAGGGTAGTCCATAGTGTCCATAGTTCAGACCGTGGTTCGTCAGGTCAGAGTCAGGTCAGTCACGTCTCTGAGACGAGACACAGCTTGGGAGTCACAATGTCGAGAAGTACATTGTCCTCTGGAGGCAAGACAACGTTGTCCTTGGCACGTGCACTCCGTGGATGCGGCGTGCGAAGGCGTGCGATGCTTTTGGGCAAAAGCAGGAGTAGCTGTAGGAAGAGGGTAGCTGTATGAGTCTGTGGTAGTCTATGACAACTCAAGACTCACCCTCAATCGAAAAAAAGAAGGCCCAGGAAAGATCTTGTGGCCTCACTGCACCTCACTCACTATGCACCATCCCTCACCATGCATCTCACTCAGGACTGACTCGTTCGCGACGACCGCGGCCGTGATCGCGACTCGCGGCTGGGCGTGTCCCACCATTTCGCCCGGCAGCTTTCCATCCGGCCATCCAGCTGCGTCGGACCAACGCCTCGCCCAAACGGAGGTCGTTGAAACCGTGCTCGGCAACCGAAGGTGAGCTCGGTGAGACTGGAGACTGGAGCTCAGTGCCCATTTTGGACTGGAGACAGGGATAGACAGCGAAGGGAATTAGTAGCAAGGAGGCTAGGAAGAAGCGTCCCATTTGGGGTGGTAAGACCTCTTCAAAAAGGAAGTGCTTCATCAGATGCGTCGACGTGTTCTTCTCGTCTCCAAACCTTCGAAGACTCCCAAAAGAGGGCTTATGGGGTACCGTCTCCGCGCCATTGATTTCACTCAGCTTGGGTGAAAATCGTGAAGTAGAAGCCTGCTACACCGCTCTCAACCAAGACCGCTTGGCCCCAGACCGCTGCGGCAAGTATCCTGCCAAGCAAAGAGAGTCTTTGGAAAGAAAGTCTCCGGATTTTCCATCATAGACGTCTGCCCAAGGCAGCACGTGAGTGTGGCCAGCCAAAAAATCAGGAACGTCACCTTCTTCGAAGACCGCCCCCCTTGTTCTGAAAACCCCACCAGCACCCTCTGAAGACTCCCAAAACCAGCGAGCCCCGCTCCGTCAGCTCCCTTCTGTGGCTGTGGACAGCCGCTCTTAGGGCACTCCCGTGGCGTAAACTGCTGCCTGACCGAGCCACCGAGGTCACGGCGGCGAAAACACCACCCAGACGAAGGCGCTCACTCAGTTCACACAGTTTGACGGAGCTGGGAGGTGTCCCACTCCAAAAAACGCGCAGGACATGTGTTTGTTTGCCTTGCTTCGACCCTTTCCGTCCTTTTCCAATCCCCTCGGGTAATAAAAATAGAAGTCGTAGGGGGCGGGTTTGACCCGGCGTGGTCGTGGTTGCTCGACGGGGTCTCCGACGATTGAAAACCAAGTGTTTCTCGACAGCAGCATCGAGCCGCCAGAAAGAGCTTTGGCACTTCCCAAGATCTGCAGATCAGAAGCCATGGTCCCAAAAAGACGCGATTATCCCGGTAAGAGACCCCAAACTACCGTAAGAAGAGCACACAGTGTGCCCACACTGTTTGGGGAACTACACCCCTGGGCAAACGGTGTTGACATCGCCAGTTCGACGTCCATCCGCCAGTTTCCCAGTTCCGGACTCGCCTGAATGAACCGCCCGGCGTGCCCGGACCTGCTTGATAGCCGCTCACATTGTCACCAACCACCTGGTCAGCCATGGAGAATGAATGAAACATGCACCAGCCAGCACCTTCATGGGGTCACGAATGGAAGCCCTACACTACTAAGGGATCTCCATTGGACACCCCTTGAAGGTCCAGAAGGGTGTGTGTGTGTGTGTGTGAAAAAGAAAACATCAACAGCTGGTGGAAGGCTCAAAAGTTTGGCGCAAATCAACAGGTGAAGGTCTTACTTCAAACCAAGCGCATGTGCAGGTCTAACATGGTCTAACTAACTTTACTTGATTTATCTTGATTTCTTATGATTGCTTTACATTACATTCTGTGGAAGCAATGCTCAAGCTCTTCCAAACCATGCCTCAAATCAAAGTGTTTTTGGGCCAACGCCAAAGCCATGAATAGCTGTTCGGCAAAGATTCCATGCTTTCCCAACTGGATGTGTAATCGGTTTGAAGATGTTTGAAGATCATATCTTGACGTGAGTAGAAATGCAAAACGAATCAAAACGACGAAGGAAACACACAACCCACCTTCATCGTCAGCGTTGTTGTCAAACGCCCATTTACCATGGGGTTTTCCGGCTGCTCGTCAATCAGTGCCTAGCAGGGTACCCCACAACGACAGGACCTCTCGAAGCCTCCAAACGATGGGCAAATCAAAATCCATCAATCACAACATCCAAATCAGCCAAGACTCATCAGCATGACTTCGCTGGGCGCTCATTTTTCCGCGGCAAAAGGTCTTTGACTTAAACCAAGGTACGTGTTGGAATAGACTCAAGCCAATTTAGCCATAGCGCCGCAACCGTTTGAAATCTGCCATACAAGCTCCGAGTCCTCTCATGGCAGTGAAGGGAGAGTGAGGAGTGCTGCAAGGTCTTGAAAGCACAAAGTAACTCTTGCAGCAGCATGGTGGTGATTTGGGCTAAGACCCCAGACCCCGGCGGTGCAGTTGCAAACAGTTCATCGACCCATTGCTTGAAGACGACCGATGAAGGGAACGGGGACCGGTCCTAGCCCTTCAAAAGCATGCAGACCACGAACAATGCTGCCTCCTCAAAATCGTCTGGCTTTCAGCCAGACTCTGTACATCTCCATTTTTCGGAAGCGAGGAATCACTGGCCGTAGCATCACCAGCACGACAAGCAGACGCCAGTTTGATGTCGCCCGCACGCGATCCCACGAATTGGCGCACTCAAGACTGATAGCTGGAGTTTGGCTTCTCATCAAGGCTTCAAGCCTCTTTGAGTATTGCTGTTATCATTGAATCAAAGAGGTCTATGTCTATATCATATCGGCATCGGTTTAGAAGTTTAGAAGAATTGAGCAAAGGACACTAATTATGTTGGATTTATGTACTCGCATCGGCGTCGATTTACCTTGATCAGCACTCACGGCGAAGTTCTTGCCACTCCTACGCTGACCACTTTCGGGAGCAGTAGAGTACTTCAAAAAACACAACACATACAGGGTGGCCCCAAATCCAACAATCCCATATGTGGAAAATCCACAAAGAATCATACCCTCCACAGGGACCACCCCGATAGAGTTTTGGCATATATTGCTAGCGAATTCCGTGCGCGCAAGGGGTATTGTCGCGCAGACAAGAGATAGCAAGGGCAAAAGTCATGCCCTTGCCAAGTTGCTTACTATAGAGCACTTTCTACAAAGATACCTGGGACACATTTACCATCGCAGCCTCTCTGTCGTGTACTTTGGCAGTTGAATGTGTTGAATGTGTTCCAGCTATACGACCTGCAGCTTCTATGAATTGGATCCAGCACTTGAACAAGGCACGTGCCGCTATGTTATACCATCAACTCACAGATCGGTTGCAGATTTATCAGCCCAGAGTCTCTGACAGCTGTTCTGCAAAACCAAAAGATCTGGACTGTCGATGGCTGGTTGCCTCGACATGTCTCTAGACTTAGCCGAAAGTGTCGCCGACTTAGCATGGCTCAAAGTCACGTGATGACTCATGATGAGATGTTCAAATCACTTTCTAGGCCCGTTTGGTTTCATGAAGATTCGATATAGCCTGTCTGTTTGGTAGCTTTGTTTCACTGATCAATCCAGCTCTCACTCTCAGGAGTTCGAACTAGTCTCCATTATCCAATCATCCTTGTGGAGCAAATGGGCTTCGTACTCGCCCATCCCACCAGCTATCACATCACCTTCAGTGCGCGAAGGGTGCCGACGGCCATCAGCACGCCACCCAACACACATGCGGTTGGAAGAGTCACATCCTCAGTGTTTTCACTGGTCATCAGGCAGAGAGACACAATGGTCAGCACTCACTGGGGTACTCACTGGGGTGTGCTTTTCACCACGGAGGACCCCGAAAAACCCTCGCCCCAGTCGGGTCGATGCAAATCGAAGGGGGCCTCAATGCTCGGGGCCGGGTCGGGCCGAACGCCCCGAAGCCCGATTGCAGCCTTCGGAGCGGACGAACCGGATCGAAACAAACGGTCTTTTCTGGCTTCAAACGGTCGCCAGGGCAGTTCGGAAGCTTGGACGACTAAAGACCCCTCTCTCCCATCATCGCCGTCTCCTGGGCGGTCCATTCGCGAGACGCGAAACCAAAAGGAGACGGGGGCACCTCGCGCGGGTCGGCGCGGCGCGGCGTTTTTTCGGGGGTGAGTCCCCCGGCCATCCATCCATCGTTCTTCTCCTCGCGCACCTGTTTCTCCTCCTGCCGAGTGTCCAGTGTACATCACTGGTTCCAGGAGTCCCTCGCGGCGATGAGAATGGTAGGTGATGTATCTCGATTCTGGAGCACCATGAGAAAGGTATACTTTGGATCCTCCAGAACCCTCAAAAATTCTTCAGATTCTTCGGGTGGTGCGTTGGGTCTTTGGCTGCCATCTTTGGCCTGTTGAATGTGTGGTTTTCCAGGTCTCATCCCTTCTGCAGTCTTCCGCCTTCTCCGTTCAACTGGGCGATGTGGCATGGCCCCCATTTTCGGGATGACCCCATTGTCCTCGATGACACTCACGTGCCAGTCTATCGGGGAACTCCGAGCGCTCCTCGTCGTGTGAACTTGCCAAGCTTCGGGAAGTCATGGGTGTCTCTGTCGACTGGGCCTGACCATTTTGGCCGAAAGTCGACGGGGCACCAGTTTCCGCACCGAAACACATGGGTGCCTTCAGGCATCTGCATGTTTAGATGGGTGTGTAGATGGGTGGACAAATTCCTAATTGAGCTATACTGCTATACACACCCAATTTCGGATGCATATGATGGCATCGCGGAGAACCAAAGCAGGGGTCTGGGGAGTGACTGTTCTATCATGTTCTATCTGGTTCTGGCAAAAAGTGGGGACGCTCCCCACTCCCCCAAGAATAGGGTTTTGCGAATCTCCACGTACTTCCTGGGGGGGCAGAATGGCAGGTTGCCTTGTTCCCACCCACCCCGCCCTCCACAGCCACCTCGATGCTGTGGGCTCGCTGGACCAGCTGCAGAGTCAACTGACTCATGATATCCTGGTCCAGCTGAAAGCGTGGACCAAAAGGTCTGATTAGTCAACCTGCTCGTGGACCAAAAGGTCTGCTGAAACGCTATTGCTCAGCTGCAACTGTCAAGGATAGCTTTAGTTTTAGACCATGCTCAGCCGAAGATCTTTGGAATGCTCAGATACTGAGACTACGCCCTGGTTCCGAGCCCCACCTGGAACCTCACCAGGCCCGGTTTTGGAGCGGAAAAGAGTCTTCCAGTCTGGTCCATGTTCGTCCATTTTCGATATTTTCGGGTTCCATGTTAATCTTCCCTGGGACTAATGTGGAAGTGGAAAGCTCCGTGTTTGTGGACTTCATGGTCTGCCACCGTGCCATCCAGGTAACCATGGGAGTTCCAGGGAGTGTACATCTACCCTCCAACAATAAAGGAAGTGGACAACCCCCTGTTTGTCTTTCCCAGGGCCATGCCATCCACTTCCATGATTGTTGGAGAAGCTTGGCTGACTGGTCTTTGTGGGATCTTCTCTCCACTCACTCATCTTTTCTTTAACTGCAACGGCTTGCTTGCTGGCCAGCTCGTCTGAACGGGCTTCTTCACAGTGCAATGATGAAAACAACCTTTTTGTTGGAGTTTGCCATTCAAACACTGGTGGTGTGTCAAGTGTCAACATCAACCTGCATGTGGTGCTTGAACACCCCTCGGACCCAATGCTGACCTGCTTTTGAAGTAGACGCTGCACTTGAAGAAAATCAATCCTCGGTCACATGAGCCTCCAATACGACACATAACCAGCAGCTTCCAAGCAGTCTCCAATGGACAGCCCTGATCTCCATCGAGCACCCGTTTGAATGCTCACGGAGGTTTAATATCTGGGCGACTCGTTTAAACATCCAGGTATTCTGAGGGCAGCGGCTGCGAACCAAGCTGTTCCGTAGCTTTTTCGCCTGAACAGCGCGGAAGCTCGGCTTCGTTCCATGTGGGTGAGCGGCGTGGCAAAGGAACCAGCCAGAGTCTTGAAGTGAATGAGTGACAGAGCAAACCGAGAAAAAGGCGTCCACACGTCAAGGCGTCCAGTACTTAAGAGTTTCCACGGTTTTTTTGCAGGGGCGACGAAGAAAAAGGCCAGTCTACCTGCACATGGCAATCTCAACATGGGCTCACTTAGTGCCTTGGTGGTGCAAGATATGGTGATTATATGTTTACCCTCGAAGGATTTGCATTCGGTGGAGCAATCCCAAATTGACAAGAACGGACAACGTGTGTAAAAGAGGGGCTGCTTGAATACAAAACTTGAGAAACATTCTTCGGCATCCAAAACACCAAATTCTTGTGCAAACAACTCAGTCCCCTCGGTCCGACTCGGTCTCCACAGGTCACTCCGAATTGCAGGTCCCAATCGACCGGTGCGCGCTTGGGCCGCGAGTGCGGTGGGCCTTCGTCTGGCCAAACACTGTACCAAGGCTGCCAGGCCCTCCGAACGGATACGGAGAGGGAAGCTGAAGCGAGGCGCCGATCCGTCGTCAAGATACGCTCGCGTTAAGTACATCACACGGAAAATGGGTCCGATCCACGGTCCAAACGTCCAAAATCCCCCTTTACTCCGATCCCCCCACCCCTAGCGCCCCAGTCTTTGCTTTTCTCTTTGTCCCGCCTTTGCTCTCTTGGCCATAATCGCCAAACAGCATTCTCCAAACGCTGCACATCTAGCAGGCTGCCTTGGCCTTGTCTGGCGTCCCGCACCAGATACACGGTACCGACGAGGCGGACCCGCTTGGATCGATCCATTCTTATTAGTCCAAATTGATCCAAATTGTTACGTACTTCTACTTCTTATTCTTCTTCTTCTTCCTCCTCCTCCTCCTCCTCCTCTACTTCTTCTTCTTCTTCTTCCTCCTCCTCCTCCTCTACTTCTTATTCTTCTTCTTCTTCTTCTTCCTCTTCCTCTTCCTCCTCCTCCTCCTCCTCCTCTACTTCTTATGCTTCTTCTTCTTCTTCTTCCTCCTCCTCCTCTACTTCTTATTCTTCTTCTTCTTCCTCCTCCTCTACTTCTTATTCTTCTTCTTCCTCCTCCTCCTCTTCTTATTATTATTCTTCTTCTTCCTCCTCCTCTTCTTCTTATTCTTCTTCTTCTTCCTCCTCCTCTT